CAAAATACGAAAGCCCTGATCTTTTAACACTAAAGATAGAGATAATTAGTACACAGTAAAGAAATAGCTAAGAGATAAATAGCTATTCACTTTTCACTGAAACTATTAATCTCCTTAACGGCAGTGATAAAACCTGTACATACACCGAGTACAAATATAAGCTAATGGCTAGCTCTTACAACGTTCGCAAGCATTTCAACATCTCTTCTCTTCAAATCACAGATATTCATGCGCATAACCAGACCACATGCCACCAGCTGTTGTACCATCGGTGTACACATTAACAGAAATATGCAACGACTTAAAAATGATGGATTACAACATAAAGAAGATGCCAGCGTGAATTATATGTGAAAGCTCCGCATCCATCTTAAGTGCTCCTCCATATAAGAGTAATGTCTCTACGCCAACGCCGGTTCGTGCGCTTCGGAAATATTTTATACACGCGGTATCATGTTGCTTTATGGGCGCATTAAAATCAATCCTTGCCTGATGCAATGTTACAGTATCTTTCATAGTAAATCGTGCATTTTTATGGTAATAAAATTAATTATGACACATATTTAATTTTAAATACTGTGTACAATGACAAATGTCTTCTTTTGAAGTGAAAACTTCTATAGGAAGGTTTGGATGCGGACTAAATTCGTGTATTTTTTATGTAAGAAGGTGGCAATGGACATTGGCAACACCCGTAGAGTTGCAGATGCGTTGCCACCTTAAAATGAAGTGGGTGTAAATATGTATAAGTTGTCATCGACATGGTCACGTATTGACGTATTAACGACAACGATGGAAAACTTAGTGCTACATATTTACTAACGAAAAAAAAGACCGACTTCATGTATCTCGCTCAGTATTCATTTTATGATTGATTTTCTTGAGTTCCCTATATATCTCCGGAGCCCAAGATCCATTACCAATGAAATTAATATGGGACCTTATGGGAAGCACCAGCTTTCAAATAAATCGATTTTTACCAGGCAATTACATTTTTATTTTAATCAAGTATTTTTGTTTCTTATATCAGCTTAGTTTTATATCCTTATTACGGCTTATGGTAAATAAGCGTAATGTATCGCTTCTATAATCTAATCGAATGATTGACAATTTAAATACCTTAAATATTGTTGAAATTAATGATAATGATATTAAATAATTAAGTGAATTGTATAATTATTGCCCCTTGTGTAGACACTTTGGCTGCCTCTCATCTAAGGGGTACTTCGGTCAGGGCCGGGGCGGCATCGGAGGCAGTCGAAGTAAATGGCGCAAATATGAGTCTTTATAAACATAAAGAATCTAAGCAGATAATGTATTTGTGCCATTTGCTGTTTAGGTCCGTGGGGTCCGCGCATCAAACTTTTTAAAAGTTTATGTCCTAGGCTTAACGCCCCGTGTGGTGACAAGAGAGCTGGTTCTTTTCTCGCTCAAAGGTTAGGCATAACTATTCAGCGAGGAAATGCAGCTAGCGTTCTTGGCACCATGCCGCGTGGATTAGGTTTATTAGATAATATGTATTTTAGAAAGATTTAATCTTGTAAATATTATATCGAATGAAATTTATTTATTTTATAAATAATTAAAAGTAATTGTTGCTCAGTGTGCCGATAGATGTCGCAACCCGACAAATGAAAAACAGTTTTGATTTACAATATTTAATTTGAGATGAAACAATTAATTTGGATATCCATAAATAACAAATGTTTATCTGTCGTTTAAAATTTCCGCTTCTGTCGGCCCTCATGAGTCCTTTGAATTCCTTTTTATGTGAGAAGGTGGCAATCGAGCTGGTGGTTGACCTGATATTAGGTCATAATCGCCGCCCATGGACGTTGCGTTACTCCATGCCCGATGCGTTACTCCTTTGTAATAAATGGGTTTCGTTTACCTCACTCAACAGACGTAACGCATATATATAAAGTATCCACTTTGCGCCGGACTTGTGAGGTCGTGGTACTGCCCCGGACAGACCTGTCCAGTCGCTCGACAGCCAAGACTTGCGCGGCCCTACCACAGTGAAAAATATCGTTTCTTGTTGTGTGCTTCTTATAGTGTATAGGCTCAAGGCATGAAATTAACTATAGTAAATATAAACACATGTATGTATTTAGATATTTTTTATTAACACATTCTCGCCTTGCGTCTCATACTATTTTTTAAGCAACGAGAATTTTCAACTAGAATCTATAGCAGATGTACTCACGACACATAGATAATCTAAATTGGTTCAGTTATATTAACTTTTTACCAAAATCATATGAAAACGTTAATAAATCTTTATTCGATCCATATGGGCCACGCAGCAGTTACTACGATCAACGAATGGGCAGGATCCTCCCGGTAAGTACCACAGCTTCTCGTGGTTATCGTATGTGTCGTCTGGAAAGTGAGGTCACCGGGGCCTACATTTTAATGGTTAGCAACCCATCTGCATCACGGGGCATTGGCGTGTTATAGATATTGTTGATTAACATCAGGTGAACCACGCTTCGCTTGCGAACTTCTCACATGCAAATAAAATTGCACGAATAACGACAAACGAAACTCGCGAATTTGATTTCAACCCCGTTCCATATGTTCCCCGCAGTGGAAAAACCCGGCCGCGATCCGATTTTATTTCGTTTAACCAACGTGCAACTGAGTTTGTTTGCTCGTCATTTTCGAATTCAAACGTAACGTGATAACAAATTAATTTAACAGTCAGAATGGAAATCCGTGTCTGCCCGTCGAAAATTGTTTTTCTTGGCGCATGTGATTGTCTGGTTTAATTTAATTATTGTTATATTGTTAATTACTTTTAAAAAAAGACGCTAAGTTTTTTTTAGTTTTATATGTTATTATAATAAACTATGAAATTTGGGTAATAATTAAAATTGTGAAACTTGCAATGATTAAAGTACTGCATTTAGCAATAATGAAAAATATTTGATAATTGAAACTCAGCGGTGGGGAATAAGTTCTTGTAGTAGTGCTATACTACTGCGGCACTATCAATGGAGTAAATTTTTAAGTACCTACGTTTTTTCTCCGAGTATAGGTATTTGTACCGCGAAGGTGTGTCGTTTTGATTTAAAAAACGTTAACAAATTAAGAATTTATTACTAAATTAATCAGTTCATAATACGTAAATATTAATAATATTTTTAATTTTAATTAATTTTCGCACAGAAAAGGACCTTTACATCTCACGGCCTCTTCAAAGGCCACTTATCCATATGTAAATTGGCTTTTTTGGTGCATACACTTTCTGAAGTCTTATAGAATATAATTTCAAACAAAAAAAAACAAGATAATATAACAATCAAATATATTAATGCATCAATTTATGATAAGAATCTCAAAAATTTATTTACAAATTTAAAATCTAATGTTGCACTAAAATCGTTTCAATTGGTATGGTAATATAATGATTATATAAATATAGTTCTCCATTTTTAAAATGAATCTTATATTAACTATAGAAGAATTTTTTAACGTATAACATTTTAATGCTAAAAAATTTATTTTTATTAAGAAACACGGGAAATTAAAGTTTCCAACGGCACAGTACGCAGTTTGACTCGAAATTGAAATTCCCGGAACTCGACGTTATAACAGCAGTGTGTAATTTATAACAGTTTCTAGTTAATATTAATGTAAATATGGAACGTAGATTATAGAGACGAAAATGACTTATGCTTAACCTGTATTTCGCAAATAAATTGATTGAGATATTAATTTTCAGTTGTAACATTTCATTATCAGACAACATATATGTACCTATACAATTGCTTAAAACAATTGCTTCTGCATATTTTCAAAATGTTTTTGTACACCATTCAGAATTAGTTCAATTCACACAAACTGAAGTTTTACACATCCAAAACCACCTCCTACCCCTGATACCATTTCTCCTTTCAATGTAAGTCCTTTACAAACATTTGTTTTTAGGATTCCGTACCCAAAGGGTAAAACGGGCCCCTATTACCAAGATTCTGTCTGTCACCAGGCTGTATCTCATGAACCGTGACAGTTAGACAGTTGAAATTATCACAGACGATGTGTTACTGTTGCCGCTATAACGACAAATACTAAAACACTTCCACATGTTGACATGTATTTTTGCTGTTTTTATAGATAATGGTACGGAACCCGTCGCGCGCGATTCCAAATCGCACTAGGCCGTTTTTTTTTTAATATTCACAATTACCAACTTTAAACATTCAATAAAAAAAGCTCTACAAAATGGAAAACACTATCGTCTACTTAGCGTAAGTAGGGCGTAGCTAATGTATGTACATCAACAGGCCGTGAACAAAATTCCTATATTCGATTGTATGAATCGACTATAGGAATTCTGAACGAGAACGTAAAAATATTAGCTTTTAGCCGAATCTTGATGCTATATACCATTCAGAATAAAGAACCCTTAAAATGTCTAAGGAGCTTCGTTGATATGTGTGTGATTGCCACACTCCAACCGAAGTCAAGGGGTACTTAAAAGGGAATTGGATCCGATGTAAATGCAATTATAAAACGTCTTTTAATTTTATTATTAATTCAGTATTACTTTGTTTAGATTTTGCGAAGTCCTTCATTTGATACAAAATGGTAATTAATGTAATTGTATACGGTGGTAGGACCGTGCAACAGTCTTTTCTGTTGCACGAATGGGCAGGTCCGTCCGCATAAGCAACACGAGCTCACAGAAGACCGGCGTGAAGTGGAATGGTTTTGCTTCCGCGTTTCGTCTGGTGAGTGAGGTAGCTGGGGCCCACTTTATTAAAAGGTGGCAACGCATGTGCAACCTTAAGAGTATTGCAAATATCCATGGGCGGCGATTATCACTTAACATCAGGTGAACCGCCAGCTCCTTTTTGCAAACTTTTCACATTAAAATAAAAAAGTGAACTTTTTAAAACACAAGTAACTTTAATTTCATCACTTTAATCGCGCATGACTCAGCATTTTGACTACTTAAATATTATATTAATTTAAACACAATCGCTTCCAGTTCAATTCATGTCGTACCCTTGGTAGTTGCTCGTTTTGTACACCTGTGGCCCCACCATTATGTTGTACTTCTTGCCGAACTTCCTTAGCCACTCCTGCTTCATGCTCTCCGCCGCGTTCGGGTCTGGTGTGGTCGAGGTCTTCGACCTCTGCACGCTCTGTAGATAGGACTCGTAGAGGCTCATCCTCGGCAGCACGGAGTTGTCCTCCGCCGGCTCCAGTGGCACGCTGATGGGGTCGAAGGGCATAGAGAATATTTGATTCCTCGGGTCGCCGTACACGCTCCGGTACTCTGGAGCGTTTTCCGGAACGTTCTCTGTCGCGTTCGGCCGAACTGTCGTGTGCACTATGGACAGCGTGCGGCCCGTCGGCCTGTTGTCCTCGTCCCATATGACCGAGTCCAGCCAGCGCGCGAAACTGGACACCTTCGGGAAGGCGTGCGCGCGTGTGTACACGGCACACGTGTGGAGGAAGGCCGCAACTGCGATCAATGTGTTGTTCTGTATCACCGCGCCGCCGTCGTCGCGCTGCAAAAACGTGAAATGCATTCCTATTGGTTTTTTTTTGGTAGTGTAAGAAGATGGCAAGCGAGCGAGCGGTTCACCTGGTGTTAAGTGAAAACAGCCCTCATGGACATTTCAAAAACCCGTAGAATTGCATTAATGAAGCGGACCTCGACTACCTTAATCACCAGACAAAGCTCAGAAGTATAACATTTCCACTTCAAACGGGTATTCTGTAGGTCGTGGTACTTCCCCGAGTGGACCTGCCAATTCGTGCAATAGAGAAGGTACTAGGCCGTATTCCACAACGCGATATTTTCGAAATCTTTGTCAATAACAAAATTTCGAAAATATGCACGTTTTTATTCGTTCCTCGCGATGCTCTCTCCATTACCGCCGAGTACGTGACGAATCAGAACTTAAAATTAACAACAATTGGTGGCCGAAAAATGTCTCCGCCGAAACATATGTAACCACATTCCGACTTACTCTACAAAAATTCCTGTTCGGATCTTGGACCCCGCCAACGCACACGTAATGTCCAGGTAGCATTTTCGTAGCGGATTCACAAATGGCCGGGTCTATTATGGGTGCGTTCAACACTCGTAAATGCTGCAACAACGGGCAAGTTAATTACATACAAAAAGACTCGCACTTTCATTGAGTGGCTTGTTTGGCTGGCAATCCAACCTGCTTGCTCACTGTAGACGAGTTAATTAAGATACGAATATTATATAATGTCCTTTACGTCTGCCATTATGTCTTGATAACTCATAAGTGATATTCAAAACCGAAAACACTACAAAACAACTGTTCTAACGCCGTAGTTTGTATAAAACTGCTTAGAGCTAATTTATTTATTTATTTATTTAATCTTTATTGCCAACCTTCAGTAAAACAAGGTAACAAAGGGCGAACTTAATGCCCAAAGGCATTCTCTACCAGTCAACCCAGGATGTGGTGAGAGTTTATGGTAGGTGCAGCAAAAGATGCAAGAATAATAAAATTTAATTAATTGCTAATCCTTTCAATCAATGTATACGATACATTCCCTTCGTGGCTTGAAGCGTTTCCTGCGCTACGGAACCCATTTTAACAGATTGAGCTCACTCCTTTGGAGTAGCATGCGGTAGAAACGAGGTAGGTAACAAAAGCCTCTATATATCCCACCGCTTGGCAAAGGCCGCCCCTGAGCACAATTACGACCCCACTACGGATTGGCGGATTTCAAATATCTTTGGCGGAACGTTTTTCTGTTATTATTTCGAATATGCATGTTTCGACGTTTCCACACGAAATCAGCACTTAATATCAACAATTTCATCGGTGACGGCACCGGGATGGGAACTCTTGTTGCTCGAGTATATTGATTAAAAGCGAGCGCCCGGACACTGAGCTATCACGGCTCAATTTAAATCTATTGTTTCGCCTCACCCCGTTTGGAGTCCACGCCAATATAGAGGCCAAATAGCCCAGAGTGGCATCGTCCTCTGGTCTGGGCAGATTCACGGAGCGGACACGCGAACTGAACTCGATAGCCGCCACTAACTTCACAGCGGATATTTTCAAGTCGAAATTGTTGATGAGCAATTTTATCTGAAAACGAAATTATCCCTGAACTAATAGACGATTGGAACAACTTTTTTATAATAACCCTTATAGTCATACAGTAGTATGAATATAAGGGTTATTATAAATAATACATCTCATGAAAGAGAATTTATGTATTTTTCTTCCCAAGCCGTTACGACTTGGGAACCATCAAGAAGAGCATATTCTTTCCTAAAAGGCCGGCAATGCATTTATAAGCCCTCCGGTGTTGCTGCTATTCATGGGCGGCGGTGATCACTCATTTCCCCCCTTTTTCATTAAAAAAAATAAAATTAATCAGTAAAAGAGGTCCCATTAATGAATAAAAAAAATGTTATTACATTTGCCCTGTATAGACTGGTCAATTTAAAAAGCAGAAAGTTTCCCGCAGTGGTCCTAATGGGTTTCTGATGACCGACGGCTCGAAGGAGTCCGTGGTAGGTAAAAGTTAATTTGGTAGGCCGCGAATAAGTGGCGGAAATCCACGAAAAAGATCGAAGAAAAAAGTTAATGCCCACGGGAATTCCAGATTATGCCTTTGTGAGGCAGGTACCCCTTATCATATATAAAAAAAACCTAACAGAAAATGTCTGGGAATCACTTAAGAGATGAGACAAGTTGAAGTTTCTTTATTACTGTCCTATCTATTGTTCGTTGAGATACCCATCTTTAATACAAAAGATAATGTTTTTTGACATTGCCACGATAAATAGAGCGAGTAAACAATGATATTTGTTGTTTTGATTTGCTTATAAAGTTTTATTTATTTATTTTTAAAAACATAAATTGAAAAACTTATGTTGGAAGAAAATTGAATACTCGATCTGAAATACGTAGGTTCATTTCAAAATACTACAAAAACAAAGTTTCAAATATTTTCAAAAAAAAAAATTGCTGTACATTTTATAAACAAATTACCTTCTGAATTGATCCGCTTTTGTTATTATATGAACTGCCAATCCGCAGCGTGTAATTACCGAGAGATTTATGGGTAACATACGACGATATTATGTTTCTGAAATATAATTCATTCAAAATTACATTTTGTTCCTTATTTCCTATTTCAGTTCTTTTCTATAGATTTGTTATAAGAGTTACAAATCTTACAGCATATAATTAATAGCGGAATTATGTGCGCCATTTGAATCTCAATGGCTTACGTAATTAAATTTCCATTTTGCTTAATAATTTGTCTATCACTAGATCCGTTTTTCCTCTCGGTTGAATGAAATAAAGGCGTGTATTAGATTATATAAAATCGTTATATAAATATTACTTAAGATTTATGGAATGACAGATCCTTTTCATGCTGTGAAACCAAGGAATGAATAAGCTTGTAAATAATAATTGCATCAAAAAAAATAACAAAAACAACAAGACCGCGGAGTTTCTTGCCGGTTCTTCTCTGTGCACGTCTAGTTTAGTGAACCGGTGGTAGATTTTTTGTTGACGTTTTGAGATTTTTTCGTGGACGTTGACGAATACTCACGAATCGAAGCATTTGGACAGCGTCAGCGACCAGTACGTGTTCAATATAACCGCACTGCAGACATAAGCGTCGTTCTTTTGCAACGACGCGGCGTACGGGTGGTGATAGATCTGCGTCACTGCCGGGCCGAGGCGCTCCCCGCTTTCATCTCTGTCTCCGTCGGCTGAAACGCGACGTAATCAAGTATTGGGAGCGCGTTACGTCATTAATCTTATCATTCATCATCATCATCATCAGCCGCAAGACGTCCGCTGTCGAACATTGGCCTCCCGCTTAGAACGACACAACGAACGACACTTTGCCATTTTTGCTTCGTAACAACGTTTATAATTAAAATTTTTGGTATGTACTGAAAATCGGGAAATCGTACCGAGTACATACCTATTTGGTTTCATGTCTTAGATATATATTCTTTTAATTGTTAACATAACTGTGTTCGTTGTTGAAACTAAATAAAATATTCATTCATTCATTCATAACATCTACTCCTTAAGTGCCTTCAAAATAAAATGTCGAAAATGGCTTTCGATGCAGCAATTATTGGCTTCGAGTACCCAGACTTTTAAATTTAATAGTTAATAGTTTCTAATTATATAGTTATATTAATATTAATAGTTAACGTACAATATTTTAGGACCTATTATGAAGCGTGTTCTTTATGTAAATTATGTCTGGCTAGGCAGAATATCTATGTTTGTGTACCTTCCGCTACAACTTTGAGTTCTTGACCATTTTGTCTAAATAATTGTTATTTTTTATTTAGGTTACTCATTATATATTTTGTGCACTGTATGTATATTTAGACAAATCATTATTATTTGGATCCACCGGTTGCACGCGACTCTTTCGATGTCGTTGGTTCACCTAGAGGGGGGCCTTCCAACGCTACGTCCTCCGAGTCGTGAACCCTTACTCCTCATTGGTCATTTATCGTACAGGCACTTTCAAATCTAATGTATAAATTGAAGTTACATATTTTAAAAGTATATGTATATGCGTACGTATGTAGGTATATAATTAAACTTTGGTAGGGGCACACAACAATCGCTGTTGCAAGAGTGAGCAGGTCCGACCGGGCAGCTACCACGACTTCACGGGAGATCGGCGTAATGTGGAAGTGTTATACTTTTGCGTTACGTCTGGTGAGTGAGACAGCTGGAGCCTGAAACTATATATATTATATGGTGGCAACGTATCTGCAAACTTACGGGTGTTGCAAATGTCAATGGGCACTTTACCACTTAACATCAGGTGAACCGCCAGCCCGTTTGCCACCTCACAAAAACAGTGTAAGTACGCCTGACAAGATGTCCATATCGATAATAGACTATTTCATGTTATTTAGATTTATCGGGGTTTTGTCTTTATGATGTGGTACGTACATACTTTTGTCACCCACAAATATCTGAACGTAGCAAAATTGCACTCATTTGTGTACGGGTAATCGACACTGTCAATAAAATAAAAGTTAAATTTAAATTAGAGAAAATGTACGGCCCATCGGGATGCGGATTAATAACAATTGCCAAACTCCCTAATGGAGCGTTAAAACGATCAGAAAGTTTAATTTTAATTCAGACGGGCTTAATTGTTTCAAACATTCAAGCTTAAGTGGCTGGTTAAATTGAAGTAACAAAGCGCCTTAAATAATCACTAAACAATATCAAAAAGTTTATATTACAAACCGAATTACTTAAGTGATATCGACACCAGATTCAAAGCTATTCGCACAGTTTTGGTTTCATTTAATTTTTTTTAATTCGATCCGGGCTAGTACCACACAGAAGACCGGCGTCAAGTAGAAGTGTTACACTTCTGCGTTTCGTCTGGTGAGTGAGGAAGCCGGGGTCCGCTTTATTAAGAAGTGGCAACGCATCTGCAACCCTGCGGGTGTTGCAAATGTCCATGAGCAGGCGGTTATCACTTAACATCATGTGAACCGCCAGCTTGTTTGCCACTTTCTCATATAAAAAAACAAAGGATACCTAATTATCTATAATCAAAACTATTATTATGAAATTATCAAGCAAGCGAAGCCATATGTTTAAAATAGTTACTCAAGACGGACTATCGTATTATTTAAACGATAAATTAGACAATTTATCGTCAGGTCGAGTAATAAATTATTCATCCCTTACGCCACGATTTTAGTAACGACAGTAAACCCCAGTTTTGACATGCAGCGGCCACAGACACCTGTCACAATCCAGAGCTTTGTAAATTTATTAGAATCTTGTGCTATATTTGTTAAAGAATTGAACAATATTTAATGTTTCATTCTTAACTTCTAGTGATAATCTCTACAATGTAGATGAAACGTCGTCGTCTTGTTATAATGTGCAATTTGTGCTATATGCGATATTTCATGTATTGAACAATTTAACCCACATTAGATGACGTCATTGCTAGAAATGTAATAAAATTAAAGGATATCTTCCCGTGGTGATGATGACGACCACTTAGCTTAGTGGCAAGAGCGTCTGGCGAAGAATTGTGCGTCAGTTATATTGACACTCTTTTAAATGCTTAATACACATTATAATATTCGTGCATGAAAAAAGGTCGCGAATTTAATTTCTTTAATAGATTTTTCAGAAGGCCTGCGTCAAGTGGAACTATGACAAATACTTTCGCGTTTCGTCTGATGAGTGAGGTAGCCGGAGCCCAATTTTCAAAAGGTTGTCAACGCATCCGTAACCCTCGGGTACAGTCAGACCATGGGCGGCGGTATTCACTTAACATCAGGTAAACCGCCTGATCACTTGTCAACTTTTTTCATAAAAATAAAAAAAAAATCCACGCATTTGTGACTGCGGCGAACTCTAACCACCAGATGGCCGGCCCACCTGCTCGTTTGCCTCCTTTTCCATAAAAAAAAATATAGACTTAAACAGTGACTGCACTGAGTTCGGAAATTCGTATCTTAAAAGTAATGCGACAGACGAAGTAGATACTAACTGCTCACTTAATGGTACAGGCGTTCTCTGCACAAAAGTTAGGGCGCAATCTGCCAAGTGGTAGTACCACGAGTTTTGGCTGCATCGCCACTTACTAGGCCACGCCTAGGTGGGATGGCAGTCAAGCGCTAGTCAGTTCCATATAAAAAAATAAAAAGTTTAGCGGAAATTTTTGTTAATTTTTATATGCAGATTTTCCTGCATTTAACAATTAACAAACCAACATATACCTTTACTAAAAACTACATCAAATATTGGCATCCTAAATTACAATTAACAATATTTCTTGCGCGCTACAGGATTTCAACTTGGATTTCTGGAGTATACTGAACTAAAGACCACTGCCTAGTAAGTTCTTCGTAGCATAAGGGGTGAATAATTTATTATTCGACTCGATGATAAATTATCCAATATAACGTTTCAGAAGTAATCCATATTAAGGCACAGTCTATTACCGAAGTGGTACGCGGTAACATATTAATTTTTGACGTATTATTTTTGTTTAATCATCTATAACGTTGTAGTATTTTTTTTTCGACATTCAATAAAAGCTTAAGTTAAGTTATTTTTATTCAATATAAATAAAGACATTTTGACTGTGACTTTGATAACTTGCACAATAATTAAAAAAGACGATGCGAGATAAACAAGGACAAATATATATACAAAACATTTAAAATTTAAAATTTCGATTTTTCAATTTTGAAACAAAAGTAGATCCAATTTATTATCAACTTACCGCTTATATTTGCTTGCGTTACGATTTTCGTACGGTTGGAATCTACGTCATCGACCTCGTGTTCACCTGCGAAGTAATTTTTAGTCAGCAGTATCATAGTCACAGGGTAAATAAAATATCCATAGTAAGAGGGTTGATTTATAGGCAGGATGTGTCAACGGTGAAAGAATGACGTGAACCACTTGATTTTGTCGGTTGACAATTTTCATTTTCAAATAGTTTATGTATTCATATGTAAATCACTTCACCTATCCACAAAATCATATGATGACATATATTCTTTTTTTTTTTTTTTTTTTTTATGCCAAAAGTTGCCAAACGAGCAGACGGGTCACCTGATGTTAAGTGAATACCGCCGCCCATGGACATCTGCTACACACGAGGGTTACAGATGCGTTGACAACCTTTTGAAAATTGGGCTCCGGCTACCTCACTCACCAGACGAAATGCGAAAGTATTTGTCATACTTCCACTTTACGCTGGTCTTCTGTGAGGTCGTGGTGCTTATCCGGACGGGCCTGCCCGTTCGTACAACGGCCGAGGCTGCTGCGTGGCCCTACCACCGTTAATTTCAGCCGTATATATTAATTAAATTCAGACATATTAATTAAAAGTTGTGTCTAGTCATACCAATGGCACACTACCAAACTTTAAGTCTACTTTTACGTGGCATTAATTGCCGGCTATTGCCAGGGTCTGCCGTAAGTGACATAACATTAAGTCAACATGATAAATACATAGTAATATACGACATATTTTAAATGAGGTTCACGCCTCTTACTCTGCGTAAAAGTAAAACGTGTACGGTTACGGTTACGAAACGTAAACGTATACGTTATCACGTTGTCTTGTAGTTACAAAAATCAATGAAACCGCACAAATAGGCAATTCCCAATAACATTGAAAAGTAAAAGCTATGGCACTACAGTTTCCAAACTTAATCCAATCATGTGTACCCCAAACAGAAACTCATACATATGATATTCCGCTTAATTTCGCGTGTAAACAAAAGCGGTACAGATAAACAATCTTACCTGATTCCCTCGTGTCCTCCTCGGTGTCCAACTTACCTAAAGCCATTACAATTGTGTGGGCGAATACAATAGAAACAAGAACACAGCCGATATTGCCCCACATCTTACCACTAAATTGTGTTATATTGCTCTGGGAAGCAATCGCGCGCTCTCACTGATTGTTACTCGCCACAGAGTTACGCGTTTTTCAGATAAGGTTTTGCACATTTACCTCTTTTTTTTCGTCCCAACACTTCTGTTATTTGATTATCCAATAATACTTCTCCTATATACGAGCAGCTCAAAACTTCTCCATTTATAAAGGAGTTACATGAATTATTCTATTGGTTTTTTCATGTCTTACTAAAATGTGTAGCTATTAATTCGTTTTCTTTGATTATTTACCAAGTTATATTTCATCAAAAAAATTCTATGGAGTAGACCTTAATTAGAATCTGGTATAAAATAACTTTACAATGTACAACGTAATAAACTTGTAATTTTAATTCTTCAAAAAATATTTAAAAAAAAAAGTAACTAATAAAAGAGTTTTCAATTTTTGTTATGACCATATTTTTGTTTTTTACTAAAGCGTGACAGATATTTAGCGATATTAGCTCTCTGTTTTACAAACAGTAATTAAAATTAGTTTGAAATGTGCTGAAATTCCATTTTCAAATTCACCAAACACTTATAACAATCTTATGGAACAATTTTTGGGAAGTAATTTTATGTCAAGAAATATTAATTTTGCCAAGTCTTGGTATTTTGTGTTATTCAGACTCTTAGGAGCTCAGGATGTTTTGCTGTACAACAGAATGTTTGTATCAACAACGATATCGGTAGATGGAAAGCAACGTGAAAATGCGAACACGGTTTCCTTATCCAAGGATATTACAAGCAGTTTTAGCGAATTCAAGTTTAGTGAAAGTTAATTAAGTAAAATAATTTGTTTTCCCCAATTTACTACTAGCCACAACACACTCATATTCTTTATTGACTACATAAGGAATTTTATTTTAATACGAGGAGAATCCTTTCTAATATTATAAAGGAGAAAGTTTATATGTATGTATGGATGTTTGTTACTCTTTCACGCAAATACTACTGAATGGATTTTTATGAAACTGTACAATAATATAGCTTACATATCAAAATAACGCATAGGCTATAATTTATACATATTTTTATGTATATCTGTCTGAACGTTACACCTTCAGCCCATTCTACGCAGACGTAGTCGCGGGCAGCAGCTAGTACTAAATAAATATTTTAGAACACATTTTTACACAACGTACTCTAGTCCCAAACTAAGCAACGCTTATACAATGGGTACCTACTACTTTTCTTTTGTAAATAAATACATGTTATTCCCAGACATGAATAATGAATAAATAAATAAATATGAATCGTAAAGCATATCAGTTTTTCGATTCGAATGTTATACAGAATTCGTAAGTCTTAATTTACCCATTAGACTCTATGTGTCGAAAACTTGGTATAAAGCATTAGACAATGTGATTGTAACTTAATGGCCGTTCTTAACTCAGTAAATCGTAGTTATTACGTAAAAACCCACTCGCCGATTGGATAAATCACGAAAATCGGATATTATGAAATATCAGCTTAAAAAAAAACTTAAGCTGTTTAAAATGTACATATTTCTGCTTTTAAAATTTTTGAACTACACTTTTTGACAATCGTGTGTATCAAAAAAGATTTGACTTAATCGAGTCGCTTCTGGCTCAAAATCTGAAACCCGCTACAGCACTAACATGATATCGCAGATTTTACGATACAAGCATATCATTTTTCATGTTCATGGATTTCCGCAACTATATTTAAATTATTTAGTATGTATAATATATATGACTAGTTTTTGTATTAACACGAATACTAAAATCCCCCACACGGGACAATATTTTTATGAGCCACAGATAATTGTTTCAATTTTGATGTGGGCGATCGTAAAAAACGTGGGCCATACCAATTGGCAATGTAAAAATTAAATTAAATTAATAATTGTTAAAATATAAAAACGAAGTAGTCTCTACCATCCCCTCGATCAACAAAGAACTGACGGCTTACTGGTCAACTAGTTTTTTTTTTTTATGTGAGAAGGTAGCAAATAAGACGGCGATTCACCTGACGTTAAGTGATAACCGCCGTCCGTTGTAATTTGCAACGCCGGTATGGTCGTAGCTTTTTTTTGTTTACGTGGGGGAAATGCCTACGCGTACCCACCCTCGCGGGGGCAAGAGTGGGTTATGTCGGACTCGCACCTACTAAAACCACCACGATGTTCCACCTAGGCGCATGTCGTCAGGGGCACGGGAACGCTTTCGCACACTTCCGCGGCCCTGCCAGCACTGGCCGCCTCAGCAGCTCCCTCCCGGGGAGCAATTCCTCTCTCCTCCAGGTACCTACTCGGGCCCCTTGACACGGCCAACGAAATTCTCCTCGGTAGCAGAAGACAGGGAGAGTCGCTCCACCTCTACCACCCTCAACCTGCCCCCTGCACCCTCTCGCACGCATCCAGAGTGGGCTCAATGAGCCCACTCGGGCCGGCCTTACACCACAGGCCGGCTCAGTGTGGGTTCCCCTTAGCTTCGCAATGGGTGACCAAGCCATGGCTACTAAGCCCCTCCGCCACGTCAAGGCGGGAACCCCTTCGGAGGGGATGGTCGTAGCTACCTTGCCACCTAATAATAAAGTGGGCCCCGGCTACCTCGCTCACCAGACGCAACGTAGAAGTATAACAATTCCACTTCACGCCGGTCTTCCGTGAGGTCGTAGGTCGTGGTCGTGGTTAACCCGGCCGGACCTTTTTTCTTACGTGGGAAAAATCCTTTATGGATCCCCTGCCACCGGATGGGGGAGGGGCAGGGGTATGTGGGAGTCCCAGTCAGAAACGGGTACCCACTAAAACACCCACGTTGCACCTGTCTCTGTCGCATCAGCCGGGGACACGGTAACACGAAGACGCAATCTTCCGCGAGCCCGGCACTACTACCCATTCGTGCAGCGAACACTGTTGCGTGGCCAATAAAAGCGTGGTACCATTAAAGCGCTGAGGGTGTGCTACTACAACTCTATCAACATCAAAGATGATTGATAGGTACTCAGGCGAATCGGTAATGTAAGCAGATCGCAAATATTAAGTTGTGGCACACCAGTCCCGCCCTAGACACTCGTCCATTAATTTTAACGTTGTGCCCTAGGAGCGTTTGTACACAAGCGCTAGGTGCGCGGGAAAAGGTCGTCCATCATTCTTCTCGCAACAATACGTTTAGTCGTCGGAGTATAAAGCTCCCATTCAAGTTGGCCAAAATGGATTTACGCCTATAAATCATCCGCCTTTGAAGGCCACCGTTTATTAAGGTCCCGCCTAACAATGTGTCCGCTGCATGATTTGCTAAATACTGTTGAACATCAAAGGCACTGTAAAGGTTTTATTCTAAATGCAAATTCAAACATCTTTATTCAATATGGAAAATTCTGCAAATAATTTCGTTTATTAGTTAAATTACCAGCCCACTTTACTAGTTTAACAAATTGGTTTGATTAGTGGTTTCTTTAATTTTCGTCGGTGTGGCGATCAGCCGTTCAGTTTTGTGTTTAAAGGAGCGAGATTTCGGAAGACTCGGGTTCGATTCCCTCAGTGGCGAAAAACTTTTCTTACATTTTTTCACGAAATTTTAAAATTGTTTTACTGTACATACTTAAAGCAAAACTCATTACCTAATCCATTCCAGACAAATTTTTGTTTAGTCCACAGAATGTTAGTGCAATGGCAGTGTCTTGACTTCGTAAGGTTTTTCTGAGCAGTGCCTTAAGTAATAAAACTGGGCGAAAACAAACAAATTGAATCTTAAACAATCAATTTCTGTGTTCCCTCGATTCAGAATTACTATCATTTTAATTGGATACTTCAATTTTTAATTCTATTGAACTGTAACTAAGATGAAATAATTTATCTTCAATTAAAAGCTTTGATTATCGCTACATATTACAAGACAAAATCCACCACCGCATCGGTCTGTTTACACGATATGACTTTATTATACGGGGACAGTGAATATTTCTTTGTAAAACTTTTAACTGACTTCAAAAAAGGAGGAAGTTTTCAATTCGGTAGTTTTTTTTTATGATAGTTACCTCAGAACTCCGTCATTTATGGATGACATTTAATAATTAATTATTTTTGCTTTGGGTTACGTTTGCCTCTCAAGTTGTCCAATATTAATTTTAACTCAAACCTGAAATGTACCATCTGTCAAGGACAACATCCCTCTGCAAGATCCAGGAGTGTGCAAGCTTGACTGTGAATGTGACTGCGACTGCGAAATACCATAAAAACTCGCGTGAAGGAACATAGGACAATAAAAACAACAATAAGTGTGAAGGAACATACAGCTGACGTACAAACATAGTAGATGAGACAAGTCTGTAGTTTGTGATCACACCTTAAATTGCCCCTAACACTACATTAGGTTTGATAGTCCATAAATCCTCACAAAAGAACACCGATTCCCCCTAAGAATGATTCGCGGGGCCATGAAATTAAAAAACACCCTAATTTAAATAGAGAATAGGGTTGGGTGTTACCATCATCTTGGGATCCTATGATCAATAAAATTAAACCTAGGCCCAAAGGAACCGCTACTGCAAGATAAGATATAATTGAATAGCACCTTCTGCATAGATCGAACACAAAATTGATAATTTAAAAAACTGACGGTAGCCCGGGTTAACTTTGACATTCAGACGTCCAAGGCCTCTGTCCCGTAACCATGAACGCTGTAAAGGGTTCGAAATGTCGGGAATTTAGAATAAACGCGATAAATTAGTAAAAATAGTTTCATTTAAAATTTGTAATCGTGTAAATACCTACAAGAAATTATCATCTTGAACGGAGTTTGCTTAGAAATCACTACACATTTGTGCTCGTTTAATCTAATCGAATGCTCGAAGCTCGAATTATTTATTGTAAATGAGTAATCCATCCATACTAATATTATAAATGCGAATGTAACTCTGTCTGTCTGTCTGTCTCGCTTTCACTCCAAAACTACTGAACCGATTTAAATGAAATTTGGTACACAGATAGTCTAGAGCCTGAGAAAGGACATAGGATATTTTTTTAATTAGAAAAAAGTTTGTAGAGCGTTGAAAGAGTTGAAGGGCTTCAAGGCGAACGAAGCCGCGGGTGAAAATAACTAGTTTAATATATAAACTGAACAAATGAACTCCTTCATCTGTGATAACTCCATAATTAGGCGCCTATCTGACATCAAAAGAGTGATGACCCCCCTCTTGTTACAGAAGCTGGTGGTGGGGGGACCAAACCAGCGGAACTGGAGGGGTATACTGATTGCGTTGCTAGTGATCGTCGCGGTGCTGGCGCTGATCGTGACCTCCGTGGTGCTACTGACGCCGCCAGACGAAGGCCCCAGGGTCAGGGGCAGACGGCTGAGGATCCAGGACCTGCTCACTGACGAGTTAGTGCCTGTACGATGGAACGGGACGTGGATATCAGGTAAAGTTTCAGGGGGTAATGCACATTTCGGTAATAATTAGTAAATCATCGATGTCGTCGACAATAACACAACTTTAAATAAGTAGTTTCACCGATGGTACGATGGTGTTTCGGATGATGTGGTTACAACACATGAACATCAAAGTACCAGAAGGATTTCATGTAGATACAAGAGCATCAGAAGGATTTCAAGCACTTCGCTGATAGCCTTAACTACTTTTTCTACTCACACTTAAGAGTGTATAGTAATGAAAAAGTGATAGAAGTCTGACCTCGCCAGACATGCAGAAAGAGAGATTTAATTTCTCAGATTAATCTTCCGCATGAACTCAACGGTTATAATATACTGAGACGTTGGAAAAAAGATGTAGTTCTAACGGCCGGCGGCGAGGACAGAGATTTGTCATTTGTCATTTGTGCTAAGTGCCTACAAACGCCCTCGGGCCTTTGTTCCATTTTTAAATCTCAAGTGGAGTGAAGATTCCAAGTGGAAAACAACTCCGCCGTTTCGCTTTGCTTTTTCTCATCACATAATGCGGTCTGTCTTCAAATAACGGTCAACATATAATTATCGTTTTTAAATTTCGAATTGGCGGAGTGGAAAAAAAGAGGTAAATGTATGTTTAAATATTATTTTTTATTTATAGTGTTATTTACCCCGAACTTAGATGTAACATTAAAAATGTGTAGATATAAACGTCACAAAATTTTTCGCAAGCTTCGAATCTGTACCCTCCTGATTGCGCGTCCAGACGCTCTATGCATTAAGCTAAACGATCAACACCCTCGCCGTGTGAAAATCTCGACATCTGGTCTTCTTTGATTTACTGCATCATGGCTGAAACTTTAACTTTCAATGGGGGCCGATTATGATGGGAGACGATGGAAGCAAATGCTTTATTCTCAGAAGAATAACATCCGTGCTTGCGGCTATCCATATAAGCAATTTATAAGCAAACCGGCTCCCGAGGATTTACCCATTCTGTACAAAGAACCAAATCCCATCTACAATGTTTCACACCAAACTGGTCCGTACCGGGAGAGGGACAAACACCGCCCTAAAAGCAAATTTGAGAGCGAGTGAAAGAGAGTATGTAGTAGTCCGAATGATAGGTCAACAGAAGGCTCTACAGGAAAGGCGAATGAACTAACGCGTTTAGAACTTACTTAAGCGAAGCAATATGCCATGGAAAAAGCGTGACCAGATCTCATCAAGTTGTAATTCATTTATCGTGATGAGCGTTAAAATATCAAAGATCACAATGTAATCAACCACGAAATCTGTTTGTCACGGTATTATTGCGATCAGATATATATAAGACGCGAGTGGGGTCATGGCAAAACTTTAATGATGATAAGAAGAGATACATATTTTCTCTGATATACGAGTATTTAGGGAACTCCTAAAAATCAAAAATGAATACAGAGCGAGATATTTGAAGTCGGATATGTTTTTCGTTTATAAAAACATGGGCTTGTAAAAGAGAAGAGAAAGAAGAGAGAAGAGTTAAACAGAAAAAGATAACAAGATGAAAAAAGTTTTAAAGAAAAAATATAAAAGAATATATTTATCTCGACATCTATATATATGTATCTTTATTTATTTCATTTTAAACGATACAACTATTTTTTTCACTTTAAACACTAAATTCTTTCTATGAATATTTCACAATGAATAATTGCACGAGAGAAAATTCACACATTAATTTTCATCTTGAATGCACAGATTAGCCCTAAAAATAAAATTTTAAGAAGACTTTTATAACTACGGCTTACAGTAAAGCACTTGTTTACAATAAAACAAATTTATTCAAACAATAAATTCGTCTCGCAAATAATCCTTGAGTAAGCCTAAAAAATTTATTTAGTAAGCAAATTGTAAGACGACTCATAAAAACTCTTTTAACTGATTACACTAAATATTTTGGGGACGTTTTCTTTTATTAGCATAGCGTCGTTTGCTTAAATTTTACATTTAACTACGCAACAATATAAATCACAATGGGTCGAGAACATAAAACTTAAGCCTTGATTAATACTGTCTTGAAAATTGCTTGCTTCTTTCGACGTATCATACGTTTTAAGAGACGTTGGACATATTTTTTTTTATGCGAAAAGTTGTCAAACGGGCAGACGGTTCACCTGATGTTAAGTGAATACCGCCGCCCATGGACATTTGCTACACCCGAGGGTTACATATGCGTTGACAACCTTTTGAAAATTGAGCTCCGGCTACCTCACTCACCAGACGAAACGCCAAAGTATTTGTCATACTTCCACTTTACGCTGGTCTTCTGTGAGGTCGTGGTACTTACCCGGACGGGCCTGCCCATTCGTGCAACAGCCGAGGCTGCTGCGTGGCCCTACCACCGTAATTAAACTAAAACTTTATTATTTCCCATACTGTACTGAATATCACTCATTATATTCAGTACAGTTTAGTTACAACTATTGTTGTTTAATAAAAAAGATATTCATTTTATTTAAACATTAACCTCATTTTTAACCCTTATTAAACGTCCTCTTACATTAAGGATATAATTCCTTAACATACGAGTAATCCAATCTAACATATATCTTTGTTTCAGGAGATGAATATGTGTATAGAGATATATGGGGTGGTATCAGTATAATGTTCGCAGCAAATCAAACTTCCAAAACACTTATGCCAAACACTACTTTTGTGAGTATCGATTTCTAAAGATTTTTAGTATAAAAGTACAGCCGTCGCCACACACCTTTCAATGACATAACAGTAATTTTTGCACGTAAGAAATCCAAAAAATAGAACACATTATAAACACCACTGGAATCGAAATCCTTGGCCTTCAAAGCACTATGGTTAAAAAAAATTAAATCAATGAAGCGTTTTGTAAAATTGGACTTATTGATAAAATTTCTTATGAAAATTTTTGACAATTTGACTGAGAGTCAACGTGATGGTGATTAAGAAAGTGTTAGATTTACTGTTAAACAAGTAAAAATTCATCCTACCCAAAGTCAACCATGAGATGAATCTCTACTAATATTATAAATGTGAATGTAAGTCTGTTTCTTACGCTTTCACGCCAAAACTACTCAACCGATTATCATGAAACTCTGTACACATCTTCTTAGAGGTATTAAATAGGACATAGGATTCCTTTTAATAAAAAAAAAATTTTTTTGAAAAGATATATTTTCTTAAGGGCTTCAACGTGAGCGAAGCCGCGGGCGAGAAGCTAGTAATTATTAAAGCGGTGAATATTATAAACATATACATAGCTGTATATAATCAAACAATTTTTCTGTCTACCACATCATCAAAATCAATCAACTAAGAAATATAAGGAAAAGTGCACGAAACATGTGTTTATTAACTTAATTTAAAATTAACTGTTCTTTCCTAATACAAATGATTGGCTTTCAGAGAGTATTAGAACCAGCATCCTTCACACTATCCGCCGATCGTCGATTCCTTTTACTTGCTCAGAACCTCCGAAAACTGCACCGGCACTCTTATCTCGCACGATATACTGTCTACGACATATTTACCACGTGAGTATCTAATACAAAACTTTTAGATAATATCTACTATTACTGTTCCGTTCTTTTTTATCTGTTCGACCCCAACTTGTAAGATAACGTAAGGATAGTTAATTGATCAGAATGATCAATTCAAAGAGTTTAACCATCCTTGTGGCAACTCAAATGACATTTCACAAGCCATTTGACAACTGATTAGCAAATTTCTACGGTGATCAGTGCCTCAGAAACCGGACGTGAGAGTTTCTATATGAAAAAAGAACTATTATTATACTATATATTAGATAATAATTAATTAATATAGTTATAACGTCAATACTATTATCAAGCTAATGCACAGCATTATTATAAACATTACTTAGCAACTATCTTAATAAAAGAGTTACTTACGTAATAAATCCTCGAATCGAAATAGCTTTGTTGAAAGAAGTCTATAAACTTTCTTCTTACCAGACTTTAGTCAACAACGGCAAACACATAAGTCGCGAAGAGTTAAATCGACTCTTGGAAGAAAGTTGAGACTTGTTTATTCAAGTCCCAGGAAAGATATTCATTTCGAAATCTGCTAAAGATATTCGCACATATTGAAAGCGGGTTAAAGGCAAGTCCATTTTATAGTTTCCAATGAAAATAGTTTCAAGGAATTTTTCCTATAATTTGCATGACTATACGCTCTGCGGGTTTTGGATTTCTCAATACATATTCTTTTTCATAAATAGCTATAAAGTGAGAAGTTTCTGCTTCTGGACCTTTAAAAGCTCACCTCTAATTTTCATATTAAATCTTCATTAAGACCATTTGTATAAACCAAATTTTTAGAATGATTTTGTAATATGCTTAACCATGTTGTTATACCATAACGTATTCATCAAGTCATGCAAGGTAGCTGGAACTGAAAAGCGTTGTCTGACATATCTCAAATCTCGTAGAATAAGTAGGGGTATTCAATGAGATATAAATATGAGCCGCAAATTGGCCACTCCATGCTGGTGAACCAACACAAAAATAATTATTAGAATTTGAGTGTAACTAAAATTATGAATTATTACGTTATTATTTTTATGACGTTCAATTGACAATATATAAAGAAATAACGCCAGCCCTCTGGCGAACGGAAGGACATTTTTCATAAGCAGACAGATTGCCCTAGTCATTTTCTTTCTGTTTTACCTAGGGTTAGCTGGTAGAGAATGCAGTATAGCATTAAGCTCGCCTTTGTACTATAATTTTAAGTGCAATAAAGATTAAATAAATAAAATAAATAAATTGCATCAATGAATCATGGCATAACTCATTATCTAAGTAATAAAAGACATAGTGTGGACATTATAAAGTTATAAACAACGGGAACGTGTAGGACTAAGATGGAAGATGTACTCTTCCATCTTAGTACCTGACGTTAATAAATAACATTACTGATCAGTACTAATTCTGGTAATCTCATATTATTTTTAACTCCCGTCTTAGTGTTGCACCTGAGGAAGCAATCATCTATCTTGAGAACCCAAAACATCGACGATGAATTATATAGGTAATACCAACATATCGATTATACCCATTGCCCAATTAAGCACTATGGAACCGAACATTAACCGTGCATAAAAATAAAATCTGCGCCCATATTAACTAAAACAGTCTAATCCCTCTATATATCTGAGCCGTTTTCTATCACACTAACTGCATACGGCTCTCCGAGGATATTCCAGTCCACACAATTGTTGATCTTCCAACGAATGGATACTTTTCTTCGAAACACGCTTGTTGATACTATTCTTCCGGTCATTTATATACTCTTCGGCTCATATTGTGTGTAATGTAATGTTAACAAAATCTGAGCCGTGATAGCTCATTGTCCGCTATTAAGTATCGCTTTTAAGTCAAAAGTAACCTGAAAAGTCAAAAAGTCAGTAACCTGGGTTCGATCACCGGTGCCGGCACCAATTTTAAATTCTGAATTATCACGTAATTTCAAATTCTGAATATGAAAATTTTAAATTCTGAATTATAACGTTCATTTTAAATTCTGAATTATCACGTACTCAGCGGTGAAGGAAAACCTCCTGAGGAAACCCGCGTATTTTCGAAATAACGACAAAAATATTTCGATGATATGTGAAGTCCGCCAATCCATATACAGATTATTAGATTACAGAGAAGGCATCTGTACAGCAGTGAGACATATATACTTTACTTTCAACAAAATTTGGACTCATCGGAAATCTTGCTCTCGAGCAAATCGTAACTTGGCATTTCCTTATTCTCTGAGTTCTTGGGGCATTTGCTTGCATCAGATTAACGAAGTCGTCTTAGAATCCTTTCACTGTTCACATGGTTTTGGTGAATTTCTTTAAACCTGTTTCCGACTGGAACAGCCGCGAGATATCGATTTCTTAGCATAGTGCTAAACATGAATCGATCTACTCGCTTAGTTGTGTATCTTACAATAAAATTTCCCAGTCATCTACTGTTCATGTCAGTTTCTCAAAATTACTGATGTACTCTTTGGACCGTAGATAGACTTAATCCTTTTTATACGATAAAATTGTACATTATTAAGGTGATAGTGACCTGATAGTGTACGGATCAGTGTGAGTAACCCAAGAAATTGTTTGTAACTGGTTTGTAATAATAAAAACGCTTGGTTTAAAGTAAAAGCGTAAAAAATTAATAATTTAGACTTTCATGTTTTTTTAAGATGATTTTGAATTGAATTTCTTTTACTTATACAAATGCACCCTCTTCTCAGTTACATAATAATCATTACTAATTGACGTATAATTTACTATTTAGACAAGCATAATAACATCCAAGATAATACAACATTTTTCTATGAGACTTACGTTGCGGCCCAGTGTTATATTTTATTAGAATGTTTTGTATCTCTCACATCGTATATATGTAACATTCTGTGGGTGTTTATTCCCAAGGAGGTTTGACGTCAGGCAGGCATCCCGTCGTAAAAAAACCTAGTCAAGACCACTTTCAACATGATTCACATTTAATAAGAGCTGGATGATGAGGAAGACATATCTCATGTATTCTATCTGGATTGAAAACTTTAATCGAATCTATGACGCTGTCACAGCGTGGAAAGAAACCAACTTTATTCCTAACATCTTTTTTTACATGACAAGTTAGCGAGCGAGCGGGCAGTTCGCCTATGTTAAGTGATGACCGCCGCCAGTACGTAGCAAACCTTTGAAATACCTACCGCTTTTTTAGTCTTTTAGAAATTGACGACCAAATTGGCGTAGTTGATAGTCATCCTTTCTGTTGCAATAGAAGTTGTGGGTTCGATCCCAACTACTGGAAATATATTGTGCGATGAACATAGTATTTTTCCATTGTCTGGGTGTATATATATTTGTAATATGTATTTATTAACAAAAGAAAAGTACGTTTTTCAATCACCTAGTACCCATAGGTCAAGATTTGTTTACTTCAGGACTAGGTAACGTTGTGTAAAAATATTTCCCAAAATATTTATTATTTTATTATGATTTAATTAAATATTAAAAAAAAATTAAAATAATCGGCCTTACCACTACAGAAAACCTAAAAGTAAAATAACCTCCACATCACGTCAGTCTTCTGTGAGCCAGCCCATTCGTGCAAACAGCAGATGCCGCAGCGTGACTACACCGATCTGGATTCATAATAAAACTACGGATTATTACATTTACAGAGAAGCATTGTTACAGAGCCGTGATAGCTCAGTGTGTGGGCTCTCGGCTTTAATTACATTTTCTCGAGCAACCTGAGTTCGATCCCCGGTGCCAGCACCAATGAAATTTCTAATTTTAAGTGCTGAATTATCACGTGCTCGGCGGTGAGGAAACCTGCATATTTTCGAAATAATAAAAAAAATATTTCGAAAATATGTGAAGTCCGCCAATACGCAGTGGTGGACTATGCCCTGATACCCCCTTTACAGAGGAGGCCTTTGCCCAGCAGTGGGACATTTATAGGCTGTTACTTTACTTTACTTTTGTTACAGAGAGTCGTATCCACTCACGCCCCTGCCGAATGAAGTTGGGGGTGGGGTGATCAGCGAGGGTCCCTTTCTGCTTCTAGCCATGTGGACCCCTAAAGGGCACGGGCTAATTACCGTCCGGGACAACGACATCTACTACAGACCAGCACCTCGTTCTTCCACTGGCTACCGTGTGACGGACACTGGGATTCCGGGAACCATATACAACGGCGTACCCGACTGGCTTTATGAAGGTAAGCATTTGATAAGAGTAAAAGAAACCCTCGTAGATGAAATAAGGTAAACAATTGCTGTTCACAATTCATCTACGTGTTAAACCTATCTCTTTCATAAGAGAAAAATAAACACCTATATAACGAATAGCCCAATGCTGGGTGATGTTCACCTCTTTACAAACGGCATTTGGGCATAGGCTGCGATGAGACCCCACTGGATTTGCAGATTTCACATATCATAGATTTTTTTTAATGTGTTTCCCCGCATGTTTTTTATTACTGAACTCATGGTAAATCAGTACTTAAGATTTTAACTGACGATTTTATTGTTGCTGAAACATGAACTTAAATGCAGCTGCTCTAGAAAACACTTCGCACAGAGACGATAATTAATCACAATCATTAAGTACGTCTCAAACTGCAAAAATCTGCTACCAGGATCGAACCATATTGCTAAGCAGACATTGCTATTTATTTTTATTTTTATAGTATTTATCTCTGCATTTAAGATGAAACATTAAAATTTGTACCCCAAAGAACGAACATTTTCTTGCCGCTGCGGGACTTGAACCCACGTCTAGAAATTTTCTGGAAATTTTGAAGACATTCCTATTTTTAAATTATAACGTAAATATCATAAATGTCAGCAACATCATATACAATTGGAATAAATTTGATTATATTTCTAGAGATTCGGAAAAATCCTTTGTTATTAATGATGAATAAAAATATCACTTCTAAAGGCCGATTTCCCAACTATCCCTCCCACTGTTGCAAAGAAATTATTTGCTACTTTGAAATCTGAAACAAACATTCTCATAATAAATATTATATCGCAAATTTCAGTGCTAAATATGATCACATCTGAAATTTCATTATCTGATGTCAGAGTTAAGGAACGCACGGTCTCTGAAGTCCTAAAAATGTTTCAGACAAAGTTTTTCCAATTCCCAACTTCTATCGAAGTGGTCCTTTATTCCATTAAAGCGAAATCAGTTATTCAACATGCGGCTTATGATAATGAACCCAATTCACTTGTCCTCGTTAAATTACAGTCTCGAATCCATTCGAAATGAAACCCGAATTAATGAGCAGAACCAAGACAGTTTTAAATTATACGCACATTCGTCCCATAAATAAATGATGATGTAGATGTTATTGGACTCAGAACTTATTTGTCGGTTTCTGGGTAAAGATCTACATTTTTAGTATTCAATTCCCATATATAAACAATTACACTACATAACGCGGTGATTCAATTCAATCAATTCAAAATAAAAGAAACACATACGAGTTAACACAAATACTAAATAAGTTACAGATTTAAGTTTGATGTTCAAGATTATCATTTTAATGCTTAATAGGTATTTTAGTTTTATAACATTAATGAATGAAAATATAACCGTTATAAATAAATGTTCGTACATTTACAATGTGCTACCTTGGGAGGAAGAAGGTGATGGAAAAGTTGTCTTTATATCTTTACAAAAACTCAAGTAGGTAATACATACATTTATCAAAATACATATGTATAGAATATGTAAGTATAAAATAATTGTGATTTAGAGAATATAGCTTAAATGTTTTTTTTTTATTACAGTCAACCTAACCATCTAGATGCAATCGCAATCTTTTCCTATCGTACAAAACCATACTACCTTAATTTTTTTCTTTTACCATTAATCTATCTATACCAGTGAGTTTTGTTGCAGAGGAAATTTTAAAATCGCGCACAGCCCTATGGATGTCAGCGGATGGTCACATGGTCCTTTACGCAACATTCAATGACAGCCTTGTCCATGAGCAGAGATTTCCATGGTACGGGGATGCTTTGGATACTGATGATCCATCAAAGGTACTGAAATTAATTTAATTAAACTAAACTATTCTTAAATCCAAAAATTACCGACATAGCTCAGAAGATAAGCATGCTGAACGGGCTGGCCATATTTTTTTCTTTTTTTATGTGAGGAAGTGGCAAACGAGCTGGTGGTTCACCTGATCTGAAGTGATAACCGCCTGCCCATGGACATTTGCAACATTCGTAGGGTTACAGATGCGTTGCCACCTCTTAATAATGTGGGCCCCGGCTACCTCACTCACCAGACGAAACGCAGAAGTACAACACTTTTACTTTACGCCGGTCTTCTGTGAGGTGGTGGTACTAACCCGGATGGACCTGCCCATTCGTGCAACAGCGAACACTGTTGCGTGGCCCTACCACCGTTAGCTGGACATATAGCTCGTAGAACCGATAACCGATGGGGAAGAAAGATTCTTGGATGGCAGCCTCGTACTAGCCCTCGACTCGAGTGACGACCTGTGAAAATTTGCGAGAAGTCGATGGATGACAGAGGACTCAAAGGCTAAAATGATGATGATGATGATGATGGTAAAAATATCTTTATGTAGATCAAATATGAAATATATATGTTCTTTTATTAATATTTATTATTTATTTATTTAAAAAATTATTGTATACACCCCAAAATAAGGCTAAACAAAAGGCAAACTTAATGCTAATAAGCATTCTCTTCCAGTCAACCCTGGTGTAGTGTATATGTAGAAATCACATACATACATAAATAGACATAATTTAATAAGTGTAGTATATATGCAGAAATAGTATATATACTTAAATAGATATACATTAATTATAAATAAATAAGTATATATGTTGACTGTCGTCTCCGGCTGCGTACGCGCGGGGCACCAATATATGGAGGGTAGTAGTACCCTAGTGGTCACCAGTTCAGCTCCGACCACAGTGGTGTGAAGAAGACGTGTGCGCAAGCCAGCGAGCCGATATTTATTGTGACAAATTATTCGAAGTATTGATCGGTTATTAGTTCCCAGCACAAATAGATACACAACAAAGTGGCGACGACGGAGTGAACTTTAGCCAACAGTATGTAAGTCATAAAACAATAATCTCGGTCATATAGCTCTGTACTTATTTTATGGTAAAGTATGGTTAATATTTATATATGGTACGGATTTAAGTTGGTAACTACCGACATTAGTCTCGTTCATTTAGTTAAAACTTTAGAAAAAAAAAAAAACTGTAACCTCTTATTAATCATTTAAACATAGCCTGTATTTTTGTACAGGCATTTGAAACTAATTTCCCTAGGTGTATGAGTATTCTTTGTATTCGATGAGTTACTCACTATTTTAAATTGCTATTAAAAAAAAAAAAAAAAAAAAAAAAAAAAAAAAACGCGAGAGGGATAAAATGAGTGCATTCAATTGCGAGTACCTGTGTATTTAATTACGGAGAGTGATAAATGGATGCATTAAATTGCGAGGTATTAAATTACGGTATTTATTACAAAGTATTTGGTTTCAGAAATCAAATTGCGAATCAGCTGTAGCATTAAATTGCGAAGCATAACATAAGAGGGCGGTTAAGACCCTAGGCATTAAATTGCGTAACGTAAGCATTAAATTGCGTATTGCTGTGCATTAAATTGCGTGACAAGCATTAAATTGCGAGATCATCCATCAATACTAGGTATATAGATATCCTTACGGACAGATCACTCCAGTAAGGTAAGTCAAACAACACACCATGGCACAACAATATACACTAGAAAAATTTGATTGTGATGGGGATGAGAGTTCAGTCGCAAGCAGATGGGAAAAATGGAAGAGAGGATTATATGTATATTTGGAAGCTGCAGGCATAGATGGCGAAGGAAAGAAAAGGGCAAACTTGTTACATTTTGGAGGGCAAGAACTACAAGAAGTTTTTGAGAGCCTCCCAGATGCCAATGTACAACAAAATGCAGAAGGAACAGTTAGTTTTTGAGATAGCAATACAAAAACTCGATGAATACTTTGCTCCCAAGCAATGCCTCGCATTTGAACGGCATGTTTTTAGGAGTCTCAAGCAGGAGCCTAATGAGAAGTTTCAAAAATTTCTGGTTAGATTACGCCAGCAGGCAGAGAAATGTGGCTTTACTGACAAAAATGAAAACATTATTAGCCAAATTACCGAAAAATGCTTGTCATCTGCATTACGAAAAAAGATCTTGAAGCATGGCGATACTATGACCATCGAAGATATTAAAGCTGAAGCAACAATACTCGAAGCTGTTGAGCGTCAACTAAATGACTTTGAACCAAAATCAGAAGCTCAAAGTGTTAATAGAGTAGCAGAGAGTGGTTCAAATAATTTTAATAAAAACGAATGCTCTAGGTGTGGTAGTACTAAGCATTTCAGTCGTGACAAGAATTGCCCTGCAAAAGGAAAGTCTTGTTTAAAATGCGGGCTTCAGGGACACTTTCGAAGACAATGTAGAACGAAACAACTCATGAAAAGGAAACAAGAAACGGAAGTTACAGAAAAGAAAAACGATAATTGGACAGCAAAAAGATATAAGAGGACCTACAATGTCGAAGGAATAGAGAAAGTACAAGATAAACAGACAAATTATATATTCAACGTAAGCGGAGACGCAACGACTACCTGCAAAATAGGTGGCATTGAAGTAAATATGTTAATCGATTCGGGCTGTAATTAAAATCTAATAACGGATAAAACATGGGAAATTTTGAAACAAAAACAAATTACTGTAACTAATCAAAATAAAAACCCAAATAAACAATTTCTGGCTTATGGAAGCGAAAAGCCCTTGCGACTGCTGGGATCTTTTGAATCTAAAATAGAAGTTGCTGGACAAACTAATAATGCAGTATTTTACGTAATCTGCGATGGAACGCGAGATCTATTAGGACGAGAAACAGCAACATCCTTAGGGGTTCTAAAGATAAACATTGACGTAAATGAAATTCAGCAAAATTCGTTCCCAAAGTTCAAAGATGCTGTTGAAATTCCGATAGATTACTCCATCAAACCCATATCTCAACCTTATCGGAGGATACCAATTCCGCTAGAACAAAAGTTTGAAGAAAGGATTAAAGAACTTCTTGATAAAGATATAATAGAGGAAGTAAAAGGATCTTCCAGCTGGGTTTCGCCTATAGTACCAGTTTTAAAAGATAAAGGAGATATCCGACTTTGTGTGGACATGCGTCGTGCAAATGCAGCCATTAAACGCGAGAATCATCCTTTGTCTACCATGAATGAATTGTTGCCGAAGATCAGAGATGCAAAGTTGTTCAGTAAACTTGACATCAAAGATGCCTTTCATCACATCGAACTGCACCCGAATTCACGTCATATCACCACATTTATTACAGCCAAAGGACTTTTTAGGTACAAAAGAATGATGTTCGGAATTACGTGTGCACCTGAAATATTCCAAAAAGCACTGGAGAGGATTCTTCTAGGTTGTGATGGTGTCATAAATTTTATTGACGACATCTTGGTCTACGGGAAAGGATAAAGAGGAACATGATTTAAGACTTAAAAAAGTGATAGAAGTGTTAAACAAAAATAACGTACTCCTACGTAAAGACAAGTGTAATTACGGACTGCCGAAAGTGCAATTTCTTGGACACGAGCTCTCTGGAGATGGTGTTAAGCCACTAGAAAAATACATCTCAGGGATCAAAGATTTTAGGGAGCCAAAAACCATTGCTGAATTGCAGAGTTTTTTAGGACTTATAAATTTCGTTGGTAAATGGATTCCCCACCTGGCCACATTGACGGAACCTTTGAAGGTTCTATTAAGGCAAAAATCCGGGAGAAATTCCGATATCACAGGAATTTGGGGTGAGACTCAACAAACAGCTTTTAATAAATTAAAAGCTGCACTTGTTGATGTTCCGAAATTGGGTTATTACAATCCGCATGACAAAACTTTGGTTATGGCCGACGCCAGTCCTGTGGCATTTAGGAGCTGTTCTAATACAGTTAAATGATAAGGGACCACGGATAATTGCGTTTGGCAATAAAACCCTTAGTGACTGTGAACGCCGTTATTGTCAGACCGAGAAGGAAGCATTGGCACTTGTATGGGCATGTGAACACTTTGATATGTTTCTTTATGGCAAAGAATTTGATTTAATAACAGATCATAAACCCTTAGAGACTATCTTTGGACCGAAAACTAAATCTTGCGCTCGTATCGAACGGTGGGTTTTAAGGCTACAATCTTATAAATATAAAGTTAAATATAGACCTGGCAAAGACAACGTTGCTGATCCACTGTCAAGACTCTGCAAACTCGCAAAAAACCCATCTACGATATTTGAGAGTTATGTTCATAGCGTAGTGGACCACTCAAGACCAACAGCTATACCGCTGCAGGACATTATAGAATATTCTCGACAGGACCCTGAAATACAGAAAGTTAAAGACGGACTGTACAATGCAAAGTGGGACGATTCGGTTAATTCTTATAAAATATTCCAGAATGAACTATGTTTTTATGGGGATATTTTACTAAGGGGAACAAGAATTGTAATACCTTCTAAACTTCGTGAAAACGTCTTAAAAGCAGCACACGAAGGCCATCCTGGTATCGTGGCCATGAAGGGTAGACTACGAGCAAAAGTTTGGTGGCCAAAATGCGATAAAGACACTGAAAATATCTGTAAAGCTTGTAAGGGTTGCATATTAGTTTCCGCGCCTAATCCGCCCAACCCTCTAAAGAATCGTGAGTTACCCACAGAACCTTGGGTTGATATAGCGATTGACTTGATGGGACCTTTGCCGAGTGGTGACTACATATTCGTTGTAGTGGACTATTACAGTCGCTACAAAGAAGTTAAAGTTTGCCGTACGACAACAAGTCCAGAAATTATCAAGCACTTGGCTGATATTTTTAGTAGATTGGGCAATCCGGTTTCTATCACCGCCGATAATGGGAGACAGTTCACGAGTTCTGAATTTGTAGAGTTCTGTAGAGAGCATAACATAAGGATTTACCATACCATTCCTTATTTTCCCCAACAAAACGGAGAAGTAGAGCGGCAGAACAGGGATATTCTCAAAAGACTTAAAATAAGTCAATTTGAGAAGCGAGACTGGAGAGAGGCCTTACGTGAGTACATGACCATGTACAATAGTACCCCGCACAGCGTTACGGGAAAAACCCCATCAGAGTTGTTTTTCCGCCGACAATTTCGGGACAAAATACCAATGCTCAAAGATATGAGTCACAATCCAGAAGACGAAGATATGAGAGATCGAACAAAAGAACAGAAAGAAAAGGGGAAAGAGTACATAGATAGAAAGAGAAGGGCACAGAATTGTGATCTAGAAGTAGGAGACAAAGTTTATATAAAAAATATGAACAGGAATAACAAGTTGAGCTTAACTTATGAACCGACTACACATACTGTAGAGTCGAATAAGAATGGAGATGTGGAAGTACGAAATGATGAGACAGGAAAGACAGTAAGACGGAATGTAGTACACTTGAAGAGAGTAGAGGGACAGTGGAAAATCATGGACACGAATAGTAAAGAACCAGAAAATGAAGCAGATGAAAAGGAAAGTAGCGAAGAATGTGATTAAAATAATTATAAACATATGTAGATTTAGTAAAACTGATTATTGTATAAGGTATAAAAAATAAAAGATTTTGTTTAATACTGTTACTAGAAAGATAATAAACAATATGATTTTGTCTTATAGAAAACTATGCTTATGTCAGATTCATGCTTTCGTTTAAATCTAAACATGCATCAACACAGTTAATAAAATTAGTCTACGGATTACTAAAACGGTTTCTTCTGGATAACATGAATATAAATTTAATGTAAACAAGGAAGGGATGTAGTGTATATGTAGAAATCACATACATACATAAATAGACATAATTTAATAAGTGTAGTATATATGCAGAAATAGTATATATACTTAAATAGATATACATTAATTATAAAAATAAGTATATATGTTGACTGTCGTCTCCGGCTGCGTACGCGCGGGGCACCAATATATGGAGGGTAGTAGTACCCTAGTGGTCACCAGTTCAGCTCCGACCACAGTGGTGTGAAGACGTGTGCGCAAGCCAGCGAGCCGATATTTATTGTGACAAATTATTCGAAGTATTGATCGGTTATTAGTTCCCAGCACAAATAGATACACAACACCTGGGAGTAGTGAAAATTTGACGTAGGTGCAAAACAAAATCCAAAATTCTATTTTGAAAAGAGAAAATAACAACAAACATATTTCATAAATATACTACAATGCAAACAAGCATACTATAAACTATTAAGTACATATATATTCCAATACCTACATAAACACTATATAAAATAAATATATATATAAGTAAATACGCATAGCATAACTATTCAGCGAGGAAATGCAGCTAGCGTTCTTGGCACCATGCCGCGTGGATTAGGTTTATTAGATAATATGTAATTTTAGTAAATACGTACATACATATACAGCGTGTCGTTACCATCGCGACAATAAATGAACTAACTTTTGTTAAAAATTATTTTATCATTTATTTTTAAATTTTTGAAACTTAATAATCGTAACTAATCGCTGAGGCGGTATAAGACCACTAAATTATATTTTTCATCTTTTTCTTTTTGCACTAGACATATCCAGAAATAAGGAGTGTGAGGTACCCCAAGCCAGGAACTAACAACCCTACTGTGAAACTTACGGTTGCTGATATAGCAGATCCAAAACACATTCGGACGAGACACCTCTCTCCACCGAAAGTAATACTTGACGAGAGGTAAGTCAATACGGTTTTAAAACAACAACCTATTTATATATAAAAATAGCTCTAACCGGCCTAATAATAATAATTTCTGATTCCTTTCATAAAAGTACTAATTAGCAACTGATTAAGCTGAAATATCTTGTTATTTAACAATAAGTGATGACCGTTAATGTTATAATTAAGCAAAATATAAACAAAAGTGGCAACTAAATTAATGATCGCTGTATTTGATAAATACTCCTTCGTTACTTCCTTAATTTTCAAAACAACGTTCTTGTCTTAAACAAATTTTTGGCCTTTTTGCCTGCATACAAATTAGATACAATTAATGCTTCCATAATCAAATAGGCAAAGAACTTACTTTGTTTCTTAGCCAATTTCTCAATTGTAGTGAAACGAAGAGGACCTGGAGATTTTATTCAATCATTTTGAGGATTTCATTACATGTCACATAAAAGGCTCATCTTTTGATAACATTGGTCTAGAAACTGGACTAGCTAGATTTGAGAGTAATAATCCTGATTAATACCCTCTGTACAGAGAAGGCCTTTGCCCAGCAGTGAGATATGTATAGGCTCTTACTCCGGTCCTGAGAAAGAGGAAGTAAAATAGCAAAAAAAACCAAAAAGTTAGCTCTATAGGCGTAAGGTCCTTCATATGAGGTCTGTTCAACAATTCCGCTAAAAATTGAAGTCTTTAACCTTATCCTATAACCTATTTCGTTGTCTGTAGGGACTATTATTTCACAAGCGCGCAGTGGGTCTCTCTAACGGAGGTGTGCGTTGTTTGGCTGACAAGAGTACAGAATCTATCCGTCGTATCTGTTTGCAAAAGCCCTATGTGGTACTGCCAAGAGGTACGTATACTCTGAACTAAAAGTCAAAGAAATAACTACTAACGGTGGTCAGTTTGAAAGAAAATTGTCGAAGTTTTACTTTTGTTGCATTTGAATTTAGTGCTTAAGTAAATAAAATTTGAGTGTCCGTTTGTAATATTAAAATAACCGCTTTTTACTAAATGCATTTGGATATATACATGGTACATGTACCAAAATATTTTTTTTTTTACAATTTTTGTCTGTCTGTCTGTTTGTTACGGCTAATCTCTGAAACGGCTGGACCGATTTGGACGGGACTTTCACTGGCAGATAGCTGATGTAATAAGGAGTAACTTAGGCTACTTTTATTTTAGATTTTTTTTTTATTAAAAATTCCACGCGGACGAAGTCGCGGGCACAGCTAGTTAAATATAAATTCAGTATCATATCATAAGATTTATACTTATAAAGAAAATTCAACTCATTCACTACATCAAGACATAGGAATTTAGTTGTAAATGTCTGGGCTCCCGATAATCGGTCAGAATTTTTTGTTATATGCTGTTCACTTAAACATGAACGATTTTAAATATACAACCAATGAAGAAAGGCACATTTAGTTGTTTTTTTTACTTGAGAAGATGACAAACGAGCTAGCGGCTAATCTGATGTTAAGTGATAACCACCGCCCATTGATAATTGTAACACTCGTGGCACCCGTAGAGTTGCAGGATGCGTTGCCACCTTTTAATAAAATGGTCCCCGCCTATTTCCCTCACCAGGCGAAACGCAGAAGTATTACACTTCCGCAGGTCTCCTGTGAGTTCGTGGTATTTACCCGGACGGACCTGCCTATTCGTGCAACAGAGAAGAATGTTCCGTGGCCATTCCACAGTAAAAAATTGTGTATATTTCCCGTGACGGCGAATATATTGTCATAAAATGATTGACGCTAAATCTTCATCGAGTTTTGCTACGAAGATATGGACAGTAAAGACACTGCAGCTGTATCACTAGCCAGTATGTGAGTGAGACCCTGGTATCGGGAGTGATACAAAAGTTTAAATGTTTTTAGTTTATAACGGTATCAGATCAGATAACGGTTATCCCGGGTTTAAGCCTAAATCTTCCAGCAGAAGTAAGCTGCTGCTTGTTGTTGGTGACTGACATCTTATATCGATTCACTACAATCCATTATGCCTCGTCTTTTTACGAGTCATAATGGATGGGACAGGCACAAATACTCGGGACAGGCACAAATACTCAGGACAGGCAATTCCGTCTATAAAACTCAATCGTTGACTTCCCAAGGTGTACAGGATATCGTCGGGGACCGACAGCTGGGTGGAGTCGGCACCGGCGCCGCTGTGGTCCGCTGGTGGGGGGGCGCTGGTCACCCTCGCCCCGTTGAGGGACGGGCCGGCGGGCCTGTTCCGGCACGTGGTCAGGACGGAGCACAACGCGCACGGGCCCCGGGCACTGCCACTGACGCACGGCAGCTTCGACGTAGTCCGCTTATTAGCCTGGGATCACTCCAATCAACACATGTGAGCTATTTTTCTAATCATCTGTGCTAGGACCACGCAACAGCGTTGGCTGTAACACGAATGGGCAGGGTTCCGTCCGGGTTAGTACCACGACCTCACAGAAGACCGGCGTGGAGTAGAAGTGTAACACTTCTGCGTTTCGTTCGGTGAGTGATCGACGCATCTGCAACCCTACGGGTTTTGCAGATGTCCATGGACGGCGGTTATTTAACATCAGGTTAACAGCCGGTCACATAATAAAAGAAATCTAGTATTTATAGAATGACACATGAAAATATGCAGATACATTTACTTTAACGGAATTACTACTGGTACAAACGAGTGAAATGAGATGTGTATAAATTTTAAATAATTTTATAAATCTAGATGTGATGTGACGATTGCCATGGATGGTGATGATCACATTCATCAGTTGAACTACTTGCACTCCCATCACCTTTTTTAAACTGATAAACATTATACTTAAACATACTTTTCTTTTGAAAACACATACATATACAGATATAAACACAAACTCGAAAAACACTATGTTCATCATGCGATATTTTTCGAGTAGCGGGGATCGAACCCACACCCTCTGGCGCAAGACCTCACCCATTACGCCAATCGGGTTGTCAATAGATATTGCTTTAACTTTTCTTTTTGTAAACGATTATCATTCTAAATTTATATGATCGCAATTAACATTAATTATGTGTTAACTACCGAAATTCAATGTAAAATTTCCGGCTAAATTTACTTTCAGAGAAATAAAAAATACAATGAATTCCTCACTTACGAGCAGATGGAACGACAATTAAGTGGTCAAATGTGATTACTTTAAACTTTTAGTATACCGTTAATTATTCATTTCATTTAAATGAAGATGTGCTCATATAACAGTCGTTTCATCATATTTAAAACACAATTCATTCTGAAAACCCGCAAAGTATATCCCTAGAGAAGATTAAAAATAATGAGTGGTTGAAATGAGTGTAGCATTCGTTCCTTTGTTATTATACAATTCAGAAAATGGGCCTTTGGTCTTTATACCTTTAAAGGGAATATTGTATTATCTGTTCTGGAAAAAAAGACAAATTGCTATTATGAACCTTGTTTTTAATAACTTGGATTGTTATCCATATATATCCCATATATGGCTATTATGAAATAGTTTAACATTACAACATTTAATATTATAGGTAACATCTATTATGAAATTTAACAAAAATGGCCCATTTACATAGAATTGCTCATATCATTATTTTTTTTTTTATGCGAAAAGTTGCCAAACGAGCAGACGGGTCACCTGATGTTAAGAGAATACCGCCGCCCATGGACATCTGCTACACCCGAGGGTTACAGATGCGTTGACAACCTTTTGAAAATTGGGCTCCGGCTACCTCACTCACCAGACGAAACGCGAAAGTATTTGTCATACCTCCACTTTACGCTGGTCTTCTATGAGGTCGTGGTACCTACCCGGACGGGCCTGCCCATTCGAGCAACAGCCGAGGCTGCTACGTGGCCCTACCACCGTTAAAGCTACCAGAAAATTTATCTTTAGTATTTTTTGCCTCGCATATATACCCTTCTCCATCATAGCCGTCAAGGTACTCTCTCTCAACCATTGTTCAGCGCTTAATGATAAAAAGACATTTAACATATTATTATAGTTGGAACTGGACGATGCGATAAATCTTAGAGTGAATCTGACACTGTAGTTAATATCCAATTCGAGTCTACGTAGAAACGAAGCCTGTTCACAAGGTATCACTCATTAAAATAATGATGCACAGATGTCATCTGGGTTTGTTCTCAACTCACTATACATTATCGGACAACTTGACACAAAGGTGTCTTTATTTTTTTTTAATCCATACTACACGTTTTTGCTTGCAAAGTAACGAAACAATCTGCCAGCATCTGCCAATCCATCCTAGTACATAATAGCACTCTCCCGAGCAAAAGAAAATAAGCGTCTACTGAGTCAGTACCGTCACTATATTCATTGACTAAACAGTTCTGTGACAACATTCGATCTATTTTAAGCTAATTTGATAGCATAAACCACCCCAAGATTGCTTGTTCTACTTCTAGATACTACCTTGGAATACCTGAGGGTAAGCCAGGGCAGCAGCACCTTTACAGGGTCTCAGCGGAGCCGCCAAGGCCCGGTACACCGCAAAAGTTGCCGTATTGCGTTACTTGTAATTCACAGGTATGAATACATGAACATATTAAAAACGCCTACCTATCTTCACCTTAGAGTGTAGACTTAAAATGAATATTTTTCATGTCACCAATAATACAATCTCCTTTAAGCGACTTTTGAAATATTTTTGGTTTTCGTAATGTTTTGTTTTCTTTCTGGTACTGTCTCTTTTATGTGATTTTTGCCACTTGTTTAAGTGAAGCATCTGAATCGATATCTCTGAAATAATCGAATCTAATCGCCTATAGATATGCTAGGCTTCATAAGTGCTTCATGCAGATACTAAGTACTAAAAAATATATCTTTTTTTTTTTAGATTAAATTGTATGAGTGATAATGCACAAACTAGATAAATGGTGTTTTGTGGGTAGTAAAAAATAGACAAAAAACGGAATTTATTAATATTTTAGTGGAGTCGTAAATTATTTCATGAACTAATACTAATGAAGTTGCTATTTTAAGAAGACGATTCGTAACGATGACAACTGAGTATGCCAAGTTAACGAAATACGTACTTGTATAAAAAAGGGCCGATTTTTCTTTCTTCTTTTTAATGGTTTTCTTTTATACAAGTAAAAGTTTTCTGTAAATGTTTACTTTGTAGTTTAAGTGTAGGATATGTGTTCCGTCGATCAAAATATTAGTAACTGAAAAACATGTTTGTTTTTCACATGTTATACTTCATTAACTTTTTTTCCTCTTTTAGCCGTCACCGTCAATTAACCTGGAGTATTACGGCAACCTCGCCTCATCTGGAGATAGCACATGGGACAATGAATGGGACGAAGAACTACCAGCTACCTCACCAACAATTACAAAGAAAAAGAAAAGACGATATCCAGGTAAAAACAAGTAACATATTATAATGTTTTCATCGCCTTATTATAGTCTTATTATATTATGTAATGTAACAATTGACGCAACTCTCAGTATCGATAACTATCACACCATAGCACAGTTTAGGTTGAATTTCTATTTGACCATTATTGTATGAATAATATCGTTAAAATCATTTATTTTAATTTGAAAAAGTATTTTGCGTTCGGTTCAGATATATCATCTACACAATTCAAAACAATTACATTTGAATTTAGTCGGGTTTCCCTGGACAGTAGTAATAACATGTTTAACTTTTAGTATATTTTTTAAAAGAGTTGATTGTAGTATAAACTATTCCTATATCTGACATGTAAGACATCAAATTTTCAATGTAATTTTTCACACTTCTTTCCCAGTTTATTAAGAAATTTTTTTTAATTGTGAATGTTCTATACAATGTTAAATAAAGTTGTTTTACGGATTTTTTGCATACGATTTTGTTTTAAATTCCCGATATTATGGACACTCCATTCCTAGTCACGGCTATTTGATCGAATCATAATAATTAATCCGAAGTTAAATGTCTCAATCAGTCTGAAACTTCGGGAACATAAATAAAAGCAAACAACGATTGTCTTAATTTGATATCAAAGCACTCAATCATTTACTTCACATTACTTCGTTTATTTTCAATTTTATCTTATTTCTTAGATGACGCCATTTAATATCAAAGCACTCAATCTTTGTTACTTTGCTTATTTTCAATGTTGTCTTATTTCTTAGGTGACGACTTGTCTGCGGACACTACTCCGTGTACGTGTTTTAATGAAACCGACTACAATGATTCCATAGTTAAGTTTTATTTCATTTGTCACTTTTTGTTATTTTTGGGTGTTTTGTGTTGTGTTTGTTATTATTTGTTTGAAATGTTGTACGATTTATAAATCAAATGAACACTGTCATTCTTGAAACTTTTTCATCTCGCATAGTTTAATTTGAATATGCCATTTTAGTCATAGACAACTTTTTGGTCTGTGATCTTGTCATGAAAATAAATAGACGTGAAGAACACTATATCTGGAGTTGGTAGTTTTAATATTCAGTAATATTTTTCTTAATCTAAGAAACAAGGCCATTGGTCAGTGGATAATCCTCAAATTTTAATGAAATATTTTTACTAGATTACACATTTCATTTAAACTGTGATAGGGCCACGCAGCAGCTAAGGCTGTTCTTTGAATGGGAAGGCTCGTCCGGGGAAGTACCGCGACCTCACAGAAGACCGGCAAGGAAATGGGAAGTATTATACTTTCGGGTTTCGTCTGCTGAGCGAGATAACCAAGCCCACTATTTTAATATCTGCAACCCGTCAGGAGTTGAGAGATGTCCATGGGTATCAGTAAATGTACCACCTACTCGTTTCGCGACTTTTAGCATTAAGAAAAATGTAAGTTTATTTTTAGCATTTTAATATACGACTCTCCTTTCATCATCATCATCATTTCAGCCTGACAAAGTCCACTGCTGAATATTGGCCTCCCCCACAGGCTGCCACGAAGTGCGATCCTGAGCCACCTGCATCTATCGACTTTCCTTTATGAACCAACCCAAAGTTTTTTCAACAGATGGTCTACCACAAAACCTTCCATGCCTGTACTACGAAGCTCATTTCAGCCCAACGTCAGCATATTTCGTATTAGAGTGCCTTGGACCTGGGGTGCCTACGTCAAGCTTGCACAAAATCTCTTTACCAGAGCCCAGATTGCTTATGCATCTTGAGAATAATACTGCAGTTAAGGTACGTCCAGCCATGGTCATTTTTCATTTTTCTCTAAAAACTTTTTAATTCACTTTTGGCATAAAGACAGATTAAAAAGGTTTTAAAGTTTCGAAAATCTTAACGCGTTCTTTCTACATTGTTATTTTTAGTTCATTGCAGGTGCAGAGATTAGCACTATAAAAAACTTTAAAATTTATAAAAAGCAATGGCGACATCTCTCGTTCGAATTATCGTTGTAAAACGATATTCGAAATTGTTTGTATGCTGGAAAGGATATAACAATAGATTCGCCAAGCATTGCTTCAAATGCTAAATAACAATGTAGAAAGAAGGCGTTAAGATTTTCGTCGCTGTGGCTATCAGCCGTTTAGCTCAGTGGCTAGAGCGTCAGGCGCGAATGCCGAAGACGTGAGTTCGATTCCCACAGCGGCGACAATCTTTTCGTACTTTTTCTACATATTTTAAAGATTAAAAAGGTTTTTTGTCGCGAAATGAATAAAAACTGACTCTAAATCAACTTTATAGAATAACATAGTTTCTACTCTAAAACTCCATCTCTGTCTACTCTGTCTCAATCTCTAAAGTCCGTCTCTGTCTTTATATGTAAATTCTACTTCTATTTGTCAACTCCTTCCATATCTACGAATCTTACATAACAAATGGTCGTGCTTAGCTTAGCTTAGTCTTTATTTTTATTTTTTGTGGATTTTGATTGTTCTTTTCTCTTTCAAAAAAGGAATCATCTGGTTGTAGTCGTTATGCTAAAGACAGCGTAATAAAAAAGGACATCTGTTTACACTGAAATAAAAATCTGTACCATGCACTCATAAACATTTCACCATATTTCAACTTCGTGGGTCGCTTATCCGCTGCAGACGACTGAAATACGTAAGGAAGAAGGGAAAAAACTAACCCGGATCGCGGTATACTATCTGAACGTCCCTGAATTTGCTACCACTAAGCTACTGCTACTAATTTCTATATATGACAGTCATTGCATCAATATCGTATTGTATTTTAATAACGTTATTTTTTGAAATTTAAATTGTTTTATAGTTCTAATCTCAGCATTTAAGATTTAATTATAAAAATCGCACAGATTTTAAACATTTTTTTTTCGTGTATAGGAGCGGCTCTCGACAATAGCATTGCCAACGCCTAGAACGTTCTCAGTACAGCTGTCAAGTGGACATGCAGCCAGAGTCAGATTATTGCTGCCTCCAGGTCTCAGGGAAGACGAAGTTACCAAATATCCCCTGGTCCTTAAAGTGTAAGCCCTATATATAAAGTATGTATAAAGAGCATATTTAAAATCACAGCTCTACGGACACATATAACAGATAACATTAAAGCATTAAGACAAATATTTTATACCCTAAAGTTACTAATACTATTTCGGATTTTCTGGTTAAAATAATTTACTTGCACATATTAGTATAGTACAACCTTTGTCAAGCAAGTAAATTCATGATAAAAAATAAGCATTTTTTTAAGATAAGAAATAGATGTTTTATTTACATATTTTATACGTTATCTAGCCCCAAACTAAGCAAAGCTTGTACTACTAAAGAAAAGTAACTAAACATACCTTTCTTTTGTAAATAAATACATCTTTTCGATATATAAACACCTAGATACTAGAAAAAAAATATGTTCCTTATTTTTCCAGTCCCTACATCAATCGAACAAAATACTAATAACAGTTTAGAAGAAATACTTATTTAGTTATTTCTCTAGCCACGGAGCACCAGGAACTCAGCTGGTCACAGAGGAGTGGTCTTTGGACTGGGGCTCGTTAGCAGCCGGTGCTGGGGCGGTTCTCGCCATGGTGGACGCCCGGGGTGCCAGTGGAAGGGGGCTGGGTGCCCACCACACGCTTCACAGGCGCTTGGGCACGGTGGAGCTAGCGGACCAACTGGAAGTAGCGGAGTGAGTTACCCAACTTATATTAATTTAAAATTAATATTAACTAGCTGTTAACCGTGGCTTCGCCCGCACACCCAAAGGGAATTAACAATGAGTTTTTTATTTTACACCAGAATATCTCGCAGATGACTGAACTTTTTCCTACTTAGTTGACACTTATTACCTATTTTTTGGACAATTCGCACAATATATTCATAAATTATAAGCTATGTGTTATTCTCACGTAGGTATAAGCTATATTATTGTAAAGTTTCATTAAAATCTATTTAGTAGTATTTGCGTGAAAGAGTAATAAACATCCATCAATACATACAAACCTTCGGGTTTATAATATTAGTAAGGGGTTTTCTTTAATGTTATAAGTTGGCAAACGATCAGGCAGTTCACCTGATATTGAGTAAAACATATAGAAGGGTTGCAGATGCGTTACCAATATATTGAAAAGTATGCCCCGGTTACCTCCCTCACCTACGGCGAAACGCGAAAGTATAACACTTCCAATTCACGCTTGACTTCTTTGAGGCCGTGGAACCTCTGCGTGGCTCTACCATAGTCGAAACGTTTTGTCTTTCAGTCGATAGACTGCCTATCATACGAGCTCTGAACATAAATTGTGCGATAGGCAGGTCCCACGAACTTGATACTACCCTCCACGTAGGGTTAGGTCGTGCATATGCCCATAAGCGTTATCTAATGAGAAGGAATGTTAACTACAGGCCAGAGAACTTCGGAGTGGATTGTGGTCCCGATGGCCGTTGACTATATTGATCGTTGTCTGGAGGCGGTGACAACCGCCTCGGTAACCTTGAACCCATAAACGCGTTTTGGTTTCAAAATGCTCATACGCACGTACGAATAATTTGGTTGTGCGTGTTACCCCTTTCGTCCCCTTCCTCGACTACCTGGTCGTTTATAACGCAAGAGTATATAAGGATTTTAAATAGGGCAAGGGTTTAAAATAATGCAACTAGATAATAAGCAAATAAAACGAATGACAACAAGGGTAAATAATAAAACATAAGGAGGATTAACAACCTGTCTTAAAATTAACTTAATCTAACACTCGAAAACATTGCCTGGGCGAAAGACGCAGGCGCTTTAACAGTATGTGACAAAATCTAAACAAGATACCTTGACCTTTTTTACTATGTACTCTCTACGTGCACTCTGCTTACCTAACATGGATTCTCTACTAGGTATCTCCGCGACTCTCTTCATTTCATCGACGCCCGACGAGTGGCGGTTTGGGGTCAGGCACACGGCGGATTCCTAGCGACACTAGCCCTTGCTAGTCCCTTAAATGTCTTCCATTGCGGTGTCGTTCTCACGCCCATCGTTCGCTGGCGGTATTACGGTGAGTAAAATAGGGAAAGTGGAACAAAAAGTAAATTGGTTTTCTTAAATCAGTTAATAAACGAATGTACGTATACGTATACTGAGACATCACAAAGATAATGCAATATAGTTCGTCAATGTTTAAACATCAAATGAAAATGGGGATAGGGCTTGCGTTTGCGTCCTTCTTAGATTGTGTAATTGTTTACTTAAATAATATTTTGTGACTTTGTTTATGTGAGAAGAAATCACCTGACTTTCACTCCTTGAAAAAAAATTTAATTTCCACCAAAATGTACGGGGCCTGCCATTGAAGTATTAGTAACTGTGCCAACCGACCTACATGATCATATGCTCTAACAGCGTCGGCGTATGCGGAACGCTACATGGGATTCCCCAACGCGACGGGGAATTACCGGGGCTACGCAGACGCGGACGTGACGAAGCAGGCCTCCGCGCTCCACGAGAAGATGCTTCTATTAATCCACGGCACGGCTGACGACATCGTCCACATCCAGCAGACTATGGCCCTCGCCCGGTCGCTGTCCGAGCAGGGTGGCATGTTCAGGCAGCAAGTGAGGGGCATAACTTTCCTTTTTAGGGTTTCGTACTTAAGGGTAAAACGGGACCCTAATACTAAGACTCCGCAGTCTATCTGTCTGTCTGTCTTTCTGTCACCAGGCGTGACAGATAGACACCAGGCTATCTGTATCCTGAGCCGTGATGGTTACACAGTTGAAATTTACACAGGTGATGTATTCCTGTTGCCGCTATTACACCAAATAACCTAAAAACAGAAAAAAAAACATTTAAGTGGATATAACAGACAGGATTTTGTTGCCGTTTTTATAGATAATAGTACGGAACCCTTCGTGCACGAGTCCAACTCGCACTTGGCTGGTTTTTTCTTTCTAACATCTGTTGTGCAGTGACACATCGTTGTCCATAGATTTGCTAAACAACTTGGTAATTTTATTATTATTACCGCACAAACATCAACTATTACTAAAATACCAGTAACTTTAGTTCAAAATACGATTCCAATAGTTTTCATTTAACTTCATTTTTAATTATGGTTTCAGATTTAAATTATAATTTTAAATTTGCCTTATATTTACATTGATCTCCTTTTTTATTTTGAGCTCTAACGTAGCGTTAATGACTAAACAAAGGCCTTGCAAGCAATACTGATACAAAAATGAAGCAGGATTGAATATAATCACTACATAGCATAAAACAAAGCCGTCCCGCTGTCTGTCCCTATGTATGCTTAGATCTTTAAAACTTCACAACGGATCTCGATGCGGTTTTTCGGTTTTTTACTGGATAGAGTGATTCTCGAGGAAGGTTTATATGTATAATATATATCGATCTCAACAGATCTATCCGGACGAAGATCACAGCTTGTGTGGCGTCAGGCGTCACCTCTACCGAACTATGTCGTCTTTCCTAGACGACTGTTTCAGGAAGCAAGTGCCGCCCGAGACGAAAGCGGGCCTGAGAAATGGCGGCAACCTCGACTGAGATACGTGGAAGGACGAGGAGCTGTACGCTTGGTAAAACGTCAAAGTAATCTGAAATGTGAACTTTTGTAGATAAGCGGACAAATACTTTCGTACCTTCTGTTGGCTGGTAGAAAAATTGTCGTTAGTGCAAATACGAGTATGGCCAAAAAGGTTTAATAAGTAAGTCAATATACTATCGAGAGATGGAAGAACATTAAAAGACTCCTCCTCAACATTTGTGCTATTACATGTTTAATGTTGTAATTGAATAGTTCCTTTTTTGATAAAGTTAAGTTTTAATGATTAGTTGATGGTGTGTGTAAGAATGACATTACTTTATAACAATTTGTAAGTATATGATGATATGGAAGTCGTTAAAGTTATTAACAAATGCTCCTTTTTACAGGTAGTTCCAGGTACGACGAATCGACGGTATATCGCGTAATAAATCAGTAGTACAACTTTTCCATATCCCTTTTGATAATTTACTAACTACCCTAGTGGACTCTAGACGCAACATGTCCATCATTGTGATATAATATGTTAAAAACATTTCTATTAGCTGTAGTTAATAGAAGAGCGCCTACGAATCTTGATTCTGGAGAAAAGCAGAGTCAAGTAGTTGGCTATTTCGAATATTTCGTTCGAACTTTGAGGAATCTGAAATTTCTTACGACAATTACAATGAAATGAACAAGATTGACCTGCTTTAAAGGATCTTGATATTGTATGTTGTTTCCTTTCAACGTATATGGAAATAAGGGACTTGTTTTAAACTTCGTGTAGTTTTATAGTCAATGAACTTTGTGATCTTAGTAGTAACTTATGAGGCGTTATTGCGTAAACTATACTCGTAGCGGTTGTTTCGGAGTGATGATAATTCTGTGAGCGCGAAATTTCGCTTACACGGTGCGTAATACCCGCTGTTGACGTAGGTTTCCTTTTAAACCTTCTTCAACATGATATCGCAATAGTTTCGTAGAGATCGATTCATGTTTCCAACACATCGTTTTGTGATTTGCGGTTACTCAGCTCCGGTACTTATTCGAATTCTTTGACAGCTTGTAGAGAAGGCAGATGGAAATTTTAGATTAAAATTATATCGGAACATAATAAAATTGAAACGGTCACACGAGTGAGCTGTGTAGAATAATTACAGAAAATTAACTATATGAAAAAAATAACCAATGACAAAACTAAAGCTTCCTAAATGACTAATGGCACAAAGCCTACCTAAAAGTTATGAAGTAAGATAACAAGTGAAGTTTTAGATGAATGTCTCAATCATTTAGGTACAATATCGCGAGCATGTTACAGTGTTAAGAATAACACCAAAATAAAATTGTTGAGAACCTTAAGTATTAATTATAAATCCTATGTAGTCAGACTTAATATAAGAGTATTCTTCATACAATTAAACAGTTAGAATGTTAGTGATTTGTAAATGATCATTGAAAGGTTGCTCATTCTTGTACGTATTTCCAAGTTTTGCATGTTTCTAGTAACATTGTTCGATCACACCTACTTATAGTGTTAAAGTTTTAGCGAAGACCAATATTATAGTAAAAATATTTTATTAAAGAAAAACTTAAATTTTAAATAATATTTATAATTAGAGCAAACTTTGAATTTATTAAAATTTAGAGCGATAATCTCGAACACGTTTTAAACATTCGTGCAAATTAAATTTAAATAGTGTTTACCGGTAGTTTAATTACTTCTTGAAAAAAAAATTCTGCCATACTTCTTCGTCACAAGCGTAAGAAATACCGGAAATAATTTAATACTTCAACGTTTGTTGTTTATATTTCAATCATTATAAACCTTCTTTTAACGTTTGTATAAATTAGTATCAGATGACGATAATGATTAATAATGCATTTCTAATGCCAAACAATATGTATCTTTTTATCATAGAAATGGTTTTTAGACTACTACTGAATTACTAAAATTTAATAGAAAAGGAAGTGCCAAAATACGTTGTTTCATACTGGTACTAATTTATACAATTCTAAGCGCCAATTATAATTCGTGTGTAGAAGTTGTATCGACGACATACGAATTACTTTTATGGTGCGTCATTGCCATGTTTAATTAGCTCTTAATTATCATAGTGGTTGAATTTTTAAGTGACACCAAATATAATCGAGCCTAGGATGTCTATTCCAGTTTTTAAGATCAATAACACAAAAATTATAAATTGAATTCGCTTTAAGCAGATATCTTTAACTAAGAATATGCTGTTTGATAAGATATCGTTAATTAGTCTGCCAGTTACCTGCCTGCCTATAATAAACAAGACAGAGCATAATTTTGTATGCATGCCTTTGAGTCAGTGATAATCTATATCGGTCTTGTATCTAAGACATACTTTTGGTTGACGGAATTCCGTAACTAATGATCATCAGGATGATTATTTATATGTGGACATGACAAATAAAGGTTAATTCAAAGTTGATAAACCATACCATAAAGCTGGGTACCAATTCAGTCCCTGCTGAATCGAATATTATCTAAATACCTCAGCTTAATGGCGTCAACAATGTTCAGTTCTAAATTTATTCTCTGTACGTACTCTTTGAGTGGATAAATTTTGTAAAAATTTAGATACAAACTAATAATCTTTGAATATCGTAGTTTTCTATACAGTCTGTCTTGGTACATCGTAGTAAACGAATATTGAATCTGGAGAAGTAGGTACGTAAATGAAAAATTCAAGATTTTAGGCATTAAATAAATCTGAGACTGGAATGAACATCTTTTGTATTCCGTGTTCGAGTTAAGATTATAAGAAACGCACAGATTGTGATTTTGCCTTCCTTGATGTTCTTGATATAAGGGAATTGTTATGTTTTAATATTAAATATTGCCTATGTATTGATAAGAACAAGCAGCCTGCGAATATATTCAATATAGCTTTTTATTTGCTTATACACTTTACTATTCAGTTCCGTGTTATTAACACACTATTATGCGTTTATGTTACACGTGACGACCGGATTGGAAATGCCCATAGTGTCAAAAAGACCGATTTTCTCCACTCGTTTACTATTTAATTTAAAATTTTAAAATATCTGTCAAATAATTAATGCTATTGTAAATCACTTATCCGCGAATATATTTCAAGTGTGTATGCTTTGTAAGGTGCATTTAGACTAGTAGATTTGTAACTTCTGAATCATTTTGAAGAAATAATTAATATCGAGTAGCCAAGAAGCTTTAACTGCGTCCCAATTATTTATTAGCACAAAACTATGTTTAAATACTCCGTGACTTGTGAATCTATTTATATGTATGATCTTTATATCAGCATATATGTACATAAATGTTGAAAGTCAGGATTTATTAAAATTACACAGCATCTGACGACAGCACCTCAGTCAGCTTAGGATCTATTTATTATTCGAAAATCTACCGTCTAATTGCGCTTTGTGGGATTACTGTATCTACTCAAAATTTAATTGTGCAAAATTTATTCAAATATTAATGTAACATTATTTACTCTACTTTATAACTACAATATAATATATAATGTTATGGCTACAAAGTTTATTCAGAGCACGTTCCCATAAGAGCCTCAGTTTGAAATGTACGATCAGTGGTTGGATTTAAATAAAATATGTCTACGCATTTTAATTAAATTTAATCTTTAGAACTTTTTTTTATTTGTTGATTGCACTGCAAAACAAACAGCGATATACATTGTTAAATAAAAAAAAATTACTTATTTCAAATCCCTCTACTTAAAAGGGAAAGACATATTTTGTTCTTGTAATTTATGAACTCTTTTGTAAAATATCTTAATTAAGCTCATAGCTAAAGCTAAACGATATTCCTATGTACATAACACTCCTTCACTGCGGTTGACTTACTTCTTTGTCGTTACATATGTTTTAAGACGTTTGCATAGTTACATATTAGCAATATGCTTTTGTATCAAACACGAATTGTTAAATGCACAAGAGATATTTCAATGAGAGTTCATTCAAAATCATTCTAAACGCTTGTCACTACGCGCTCTATGGTTACTTGCTCTTGCTGTTATTCAATTGAATCGTTTAAATTTATTTATTTCATCGATACTCTAAACATATTGAATAAATTACGAATTTCAATAAATAGATGCCACAAACGAGAGTTATTCATTTTTGAACAATTCAACACCCTTCAATTTTACTCAATAAATTTCAAGACACTGAATTCGATATAAAAGATTCATATGTAAGCAGTGGAAAATAAAGGCTTAAAACCAAAAACGCAATATCCCAAATCATGTGTTTAATGAGGCCCTGTTAGGCGCTCTTCGTATGTCTTCAGGCAAGGAATCCCGTAGTAGTGTATGTAGCATGTACGGTGAAAGAGTTACCGTAGAAAGTAGAGAGTAGTAGAGAGATGTTGGGGAATAATTACATATTGTTTTGTCTTTTACAGCACACAAATAAATATTACATATCGATTTACAACGATAAATCTTATCTATACTAAGTATTTAGCTAATTTTAATCTTCTCCATACTCTATAGAGATCTTGCGGAATAACTCATACCAGCTCATTTTTTATGTGTGAAAAAGTGGCAAACAAACTGGCGGTTCACCTGATGTTAAGTAATACCCACCGCCCATGGACATCTGCAACTGAAAATGCGTTGCCACCTTTAAATAAAGTGGGTCCTGGCTACCTCACTCACCAGACGAAACGCAGAAGTGTAACACTTCTACTTTACGCCGGTCTTCTGTGCGGTCGTGGTAATTACCCGACGGACCTGCCCATTCGTGCAACAGTGGCAACTGTTGCGCGGCCCTACCACAGTCAATTTACAGTCATGTAAATCACTACATAGTATAAAACAAAGTCTGAACTGTTTGTCTGTCCCTATGTATGCTTAGATCCCTAAAACTACGCAACGGATCTTAATGCGTTTTTTTTTACTAGATACAGTGATTCAAGAGGAAGGTTTATATATGTATAATACATTGCAACCGTGCCAAGCCGGGGCGGGTCGCTAGTCATTTTATA